GTCCTGAAGAGCGTGCCCCTGACCCCATCCTACTGCAGTTACAGTCTTCACACTGTGATGGCTGAAAGAGCCCCCGCTGGCCTGCTGAAATAAACTGAGCACCAGATTCATGGGACTTGGCTCCGGCTCTCAGAGACACGGTTGAAAGCTTGCCTCTCAAGAAATTTAGATACTGGGGAATTCACAGCTCTGACACAAATAAATACAGATGAAGGGTGACCCGCCCTGCCTGCTGTGTGCTGCTCTCTCCACCCAGCCTTAGGTGAGAGCCCCTGAGATCCATTTCCACCGCTCCCATCTTCCCAGAACACTTCTCGCCTGTGCAAGAGGCGCCTAATATGTCTCAGCCTCGCCTATACCTCAGCCGCCCGCAGCTCTTCTTTCCCAGCGAGGCGGGGTGACCCGGCGGTCCTGAGGGGGCTCTCACCGTCATCATGTCATCACACTTCATATCCGGCTCGTCGTCATCCTCACTTTTGTTGTAGAACTTGCGGAAGAAGTTGAAAGCCACCACAGTGTACAGATAAACCACCACGGCCAGGAGACCAACAGTCAAAACGAGCTGGGAGGGAAGAGAGGAAAAGGAGGTGGGTCTTCTCTGCCTTAAAAGTTTCAAGGGTGACTCCAAGAACAGAGAGGAAAGGTGAGGCTGAGCCGGGGAGAAAGGGGTGGGGGTGGCAAGGAAAGGGGGGACCATAGATCGAAACCGGCTACTGGGAGAACAGAGTAATGATGGGGTGTTATGTACTAAATTGTGTCCCACCCCAGTTCATATGCTGAAGCCCTCCATGGAGTACCTCAGAATGTGACTGAATTTGGAAATAGGGCCTTTAAAGAGGTAAGTACATTAAAATGGGGCTGGTAGAGTGGGCCCTAATCCAATCTAACTGGTGTTCCTGTAAGAAGAGGAGATTAGGGCACAGAACGAGAGAGTAGATAGCTGCATGCGCAGCGGGATGATCAAGTGAAAGAGCAAGAGGGCGGCCCAGTGAGAGCCCGGGAGCGAAGCTTCGGAGGAAGCCAGGCCTACTCACGCCTTGACCTTGGACTTCTGAGTGGAAATACATTTCTGTTGTTTAAGCCACCCAGGCTGTGGTATTTCATGATGGCAGCTCCGGCAGACTGATAGATACCTCGGGTATCCAGTGTGACAGCAGTGACCTGAGGTTTCACGGTGCAGCTTCTACTCGAACGCTGTTTCTCAAACTAAAGGTTCTTTGGACTGGTAGGCGTCCCTACATTCCATTAGTTCATAAATAACTAGGAACTATATCATTGTCACAGCTTCGAAGTTACTGTAAGAATTATTTACGACGGTTGAGCAAAGTGACATTTTTCATAAGAAGTCTGCCTAGTATCTTTGTAGAGGTCATAGGCCACGTGCATTTCCCAGCTTTAGGAGCGACTAGAATGAGGAGTACACAGGACTTGCTCATCTGGCTTACAGGCAGGACTAGGTGCTGAGCTGGAGCTGTGAAGATCATGAAGATCTCTCCGCCTTCAAGATGCTACACGTAAGGGAGTGGGTATGAGTGTTAAGATGAGACAGATTCAACGGCTTCTTCAATGATGACTAGGACCTTACCTAACCTCAGATAGCAGACCTCACAGAACGAACTGGTTCTAGGAAAACGGAACCTGGGCTTTGCACCAAGGAAGAAATGAGCTAGTTCTGCCCCTTAGCAGCCGTGTGGTCTTGAGTGAGACACTCAGCCCTTCTGAGCCTCTGTTCTCTTATCTGTCGAATGAGCATAACAGCTACCTTACAAAGTGGTGGTCAGCCTGTCACAGTACCTGGCACAAGATGGGCACCTTTGTTTTATAATTTTTCCAGAGTTCATTCAGCAAGGCCGTATAAAAATGTCATTGTTTAAACTTTCCATTTAAGGTACAGTTTTGTATAATGCTATTAAGACAAATCAATAAAAATGGAAGTTTCAATACGAGTAAACGGGAAGAAAATAATTCTAAAAGAACATATTATAGGACTGGCATTCCACAGATCACACTTTGGGACACATTACCTTTATAGGATAAAACTTTCTGAGACACACATGTAAAAATACACAGCACCCTCTCCTAGGAATCCACAAGGAAGTGTTTAACACACTCAAAGCAAACATCTGTACCACAGCTTCTGTTACCTCCCCAAACTTTAGCGTCTTGTATGTGGCAGCAAATCTCTCTCTAGCTTTCCTCCATTCTTTCTACCACCAACCAAAACAAGAAACATGGACTGTTGCTACTACCAGAAACCTAACAGAAATAAACCTGATGTTCTAGCACCTTTCATTTTAGAACAACTAAAGGTCAACTTGACTTTTCCTTCTAGTTGGAATCTTTATGTAGTTTTTTAAGGTGTACAACCTGGTCATTTAATATGTATACACTGTAACTGATGACCACAATCAAGTTAATTAACATGTCCATCACCTCATGCAATTCCCATTTCTCTCTGTGTGTGGTGAGAACACTCAAGATCTATTCTCTTAGCAAATTTCAAGTATACGGTACAGTATTTTTAACTGTAGTCACCATGCTTTACATCAGATCCCCAGAATTTATTCATCTTATAACTGAAAGTTTGTACCTTTGAACCAACACTCCCCATTTCCCCCCCTCTCCGCCCCTAGCAACCACCATTCTATTCTTTGGTTCTGTGAGTTCAACTTTTTTAGATTCCACATATAAGTGAGATCATACAGTATTTGTCTTTCTGTGTGTGGCTTATTTCATTTGGCGTAACGCCCTCAAGGTCCATCCATGTTGTGACAAATGGCAGGATTTCCTTCTTTTTATGGCTGAGTAGTATTCCATCATATATACACCACATTTGCTTTATATATTCTTCCACTGATGGACACTTAGGTTGTTCCCACATCTTAGCTATTGTGAAGAATGCTGCAGTGAACATGGGAGTGTAGCTATTTCTTCAAGATACTGATTTCATTCCCAGAAGTGGGATTGCTGGATCACATGGCGGTTCTATATTTAATTTTGTGAGGAACCTCCACACTGTTTTCCATAATGGCTGTACCAAGCTGGGCACATTTTAACTTCCTTCTTTTCTCCCTCTTCTATACAAAGGTTTAGAGATGTGAACGCACATGTCTCATTCATAGAATTGCACTTAATGTAGAGTGAAGTGCTAAGGGGTTTGCATTTGTTGACAGAGGATTTCAATCTAGGGGTGCATCCTAACTATTGTAGAAGACAGACTGGATATTGATGAGGCTGGATATAGCTATGGCTATATACATATATAACTATCTGTTAACTTATACTATATCTGTATATAGCTATACAACTATATGTCAACTTTTCAATGTTCTGTATATATAGACATATACACATATATAGTTATGTGCATGTGTGTATATGTGTCTGAATCATTGATTCCTAGTTGGAAGCATATATCAGAAGTACCTGGGGAGGTTTCTAACTACATATGGCCACTAGCTTACCCCCAGTGAGTATGTCAGATTCACGGAGGAAAGGGGGTCAATCTACAAAAGGTCTCCAAAGTGATCTGATAGGTCCATCACCTCCTCCCTGCCTCCTCCTCCCTGGTTGATCTAAATGTTAGGGGTTTCTGGATCAAGGTCTTATGACTCTTAAATGATGTCTATAATTTTATTTTTATTTTGCTGCAGTTTTATTAAAACAATCACCATTAGTTCAAGTGTTTGGTCAAGAAAGGGGTATTTTACACTATAAGACACCTTCCTGTCATACACTAGCTATACTACCTGTTTTGGTCACTATTTTCCTGTCATATCCGGGTCCATCCTGTTCCACATCATATGACCCCAGTACCTGTTTGCCGTTGTGAGTTACAGATGATAGAATCGTCCTCAGTGTCTTGAAGCCCATGGCGATATCCAGCAGATGAGCAGCGAAGAAGAAGTTGTTGTAGTGGCCCAGGATGGACATGGTTGTGTACCAGGCAAGGTAGAGAAAGGACTGTGGAAACGGAAGGAATTTAGCAGCTCTTCAGGCATTCCTGCGGTGCTCACTGAACCACTATTTCTCATCTTTGGGGACAGGGTGTCCAGGTGCTGTGAACTGGCCTAAAAATTGCCAAGGGAAACCCCATCTGTCTTGCACAAGAGTGTCCCCAGCACCGTTCACACTGGCTTTGAAGTAATCCCTGAACCTTTCTGGGCGTCTTTCCTAGCTTCCCTGTGGCATCTAGTGACATCCCTGAACCCAGGGCACAGAATCTGTTTTTCTAGATGCCATACTTACATTGTCGGTAAAAACCACTCCCAGCTTCCAGATATGGTACTTCATGTCGATGGAACTCAGCCTAAAGGGGGACAAAAAATTTAAAAACATATAAATGTCAGGATGTAGTTAAGTGTTTAATAAGGAGAGGTTTAGTAATGTAAATACGGCCCTGAGCTTTTATCAAGTTGTATGTATGTGTTCCTCATGAGACCGAGAATGGTTGAATCACACACTGAAATTTTAATTAGTCTTCCTCTTTCAGCTCTATCAGGCCTATAAGCTGATAGATCCTTAAATTTTTTAAAGCAGTGCTCTCCCAATATGTTAGGCTCTAGAAGAAACACCCAAGTCAGACTGAGCCTGAGAAAACAAAGTTATGACTGAGATTTTCCTCTCCAAGCACGCTGATAAGGCCTGACAAGGGCTAAAAGGATCTACTTTCGCAGGACTTTGGGTTTTAGCTCCTAAGCTCTGTACCATGACACCAGAGAGGCCTCCTCTGCTTTGGTTTCTTCGACTGGGCTAAAGTCAAGGGCATTTTTGTCCAAACCTAGGAGTTCAGCAATGCGTTCTGCTCCATACAGATCTCCATACTTGTTGATCACCTAAAACAGAAAGGATGACAGGCTGAGCTTGGGCCACACATCACCATCGATGTTTTCTCTAGCCCCAATGTCTTCGGAGCTTTGCTACACTCTGGGCTCTCCCAAGGGGCTGATAAACTCATGACTCAAAATGCAACATGAAAATAAAGGGAAAAAAAATAACTCCTGAGGGTGACCTGTTAGCTCAGTTGGTTAGAGCATCGTGCTGATAACACCAAGTTTGCCTGTTCGATCCCCGCATGGGCTACTGTAAGCTGCACTCTCCTTAAAAGAGTCAACTATGGCATTGTAGCATGAAAGCAGTGTGTAACCAATCACCATGGCTGTTCTCCAATAAAAATTAAAAACAAAAAAACTCCCCAAAAAAACAGAAATGAAAAAGGGAATAATAAACTGCTTTCAAGCTGATTTCTTTTCGGAGGCGAGAAAACCTGGTGTGCAGAAAACCATGATTGTGTTAAGCTGTGTAAGGCAGGTGAGTATAGAAAGGAAGCCAAATAACTACACGTGTTCATATAAAACCCCTTCTGTGACTTAACTGTTCTTGAGAGTCCATCAAAACAGTAACATCAAATTTATTTGTGTTTGTATATGGAAAACTTAAAAATCTATTACATTTCTTTGGTGGTGATGGAACTCACCCCCACTGACAGGGCATACCTTTCTCTTTACAAATTTGTCCCAGTAGTTATTAGGAAAAGATCTGAAAAAGAAAATGAAAAAGGATCTTAACATCAAGGCAAGCACATCAAGAAACTTTGCAGTTTGAGTGTCTGGATCTGCGATCCCTTTAGTTTTTGTCCTGCTCATTGAAGACAAGACTTGTTTCAAGTTCAGAGTCACCACAGGACTGACTGATTTAAGGTTTCACTACTTTGTACTGACTTCTGAAACTCTTGGAAAGCCACTCTGCATTTTCTACCTCAAAATTATGGTTCAGAGCCGGGAATTGTGGTAAGGGGATTAGACAGAAGCGGATACATGTGGATTGATCTCAGTATAACCATTATCAGAATCCTGTAGGAAACATGTGCATTCAACCTTTATTCACTGAGTACCTAGTTTACAAGTATAACAGTAACTGGGGTAAGTGCATTGGATACAATGGTACAACATGTAGACAAGGTCCCTAACTACGTGACATTTCCAGTCTGGGAATCACCTTTAGTTAATTTCTACAGGGTTTTTCTTAACCGGAGTACTCTTCCACTCTATTCTCCATTCCCATACAACTCCTGTGGGGTCCAATTTCCTCGGGAAATTACATCCCTCTCCCCTTTGGAGGGGCTTCCCTATAAACACCCCATCCCTAACCTTCCCTTCTCCCCGAGGGAACTCCTTTCTTCTGCCTGGTAGCTTCTACCAGCTCCACTGCAAATAGTTTCCTATTGTTAAAGTCAAGAAAGAACTGCCACTTCTAGGTATACTGGCAAAAACCATTTAAAATAGTTTGCTCCTCTCCAGAATGATCGACCCTTCCTGGGAGGGGTCCTTGTGATGCTAGTTTGCAGCCAGGGAAACTCTGGCCCTTGGTATATGCATTCTTCTGTTTTTCCTTTATTTGAGTCATTTTCGTTGGATCTGAAACACACAGTCCCCGATTCTAGAAACCTCCCATGTTGGTGGTGAGGGAAGTGGAGGCCTCCCTCTATTCATGGACCTCTCAGAAGAATAACCCTTAGCAAATGCCATCCCTCCCCAAAAGGGTGGCAATCTTTTTAAAAAAAATGTGGGGTTTTTTTCTTTTTTTTTTTTTATAGTTAAAGCAGTTTCTTTGTCTTAAACATCCAAATGCGACTTAAAAGCAAGAACAAATGCTGGGTTTATAAACTGCTAGTAGATTTTATCTCTGGGAATGGAAATAATTATGTTGACTTTCTTGTATATTTTTCTGCTACTTGATTTTTTTCATGTATTCCATTTAGTATCTAAAATAAAACAAATATTGGGTCGTTGGAAAAGTCATGACACATTTTTGCAAAGAAAACCATAGAAAAAATACGTCATGACTTTTCTGACGACCCAGTAAAAATCAAGCCAGCTTCCTCGGTCCACACAGACGTCTCCTTTCTCTTAAATCCTTTATACAAATGGTCCATTACGTAACACTCAGCCCGGTCACATCTTGTTGTAAGGGGAAAATTCCACAAGTGGTGAAGGGCCATTGACCAAAGGCTCTGGGCAAGACCTTTTGCAGCTGATCTTACTTTGGTCTGAGTATTTTTGTCCCTTGACTAGGTATGGAAGCTTCTTAAAGGCAGAAACCATCTTTTTATTGGGTAATATTCCTTAAAGTGTAGGGGGCAGACAAAAGGAACTTCAGAAGGGAAATGCATAAATAAATGATACCCTACATATGCATGGTCAAGAAAAATAACGTAAGATGCTTAGCCTTTTTAGAAATCCGGAAAATGCACAATGAGGTGCCACTGCACACCTACCAGACTAGCAGACCTATCTGACGACAGCAAGTGCTGGCATCGGCAGAGGCGCAGGGATTCTCACACAGTACTGGTTGGAAGGTAGAGTGGGACAGACACTGGCATATCCTACTATTCAAGTTTTTCTCCTGGTCTCTACTCTAGGCAAACTCTGTTAACTTGTGTATGAGTTATAAAAATGCTCATCGTAGCACTGTTTTCAGTAGCCAGAAACTGAGAACACTTGAAATATCCTGTCAGGAAAATGGATAAATACACCATAATATACTCATATGATGAGTTTCGAAAATGTTTTCAAACATTTCAGGTTTGAAAATGACAAAACCATGGCTACACAAATCAACATAGGTGAGTTCCCAAACATAGCGTTGAACAAACTATTCAAACGATAGTACAATGCATATAGTACAAGTCCATTTATATAAAGTTCAAAAATAGTCGAAACAATACCTAGGGACACATACCTAAGCGGTAAAGCTATAAACTAAAGCAAAAAAATGACTATCTCTGAAGCCAGGAGAGTAGGTAGCTGGGGGTTGAGGAATCGGATGGAGGAGCATGATGTCTGGGACTCTGAAGCTTTCAGCAATGCTCCATTTTGTAACTTTTTTTTTTTTTTTTNGTTGGCAGCTCAGCGGCTGCTCAGCTCGGGCTGGACTCGAACCGCTGTTGCTCAGAGCTCAAACTCTTCAGCGAGCTCTTAACCAACTGAGCCACTCGGCCGGCCCCTCCATTTTGTAACTTTTATAGTTCGTTTTTTTATTATACTTTAAAATATATGTGTACATTTTAAATCTTCTATATATGTATTTAACAATACGAAAATAATGTTAAAAAAGAAAGCTCACCATGATATGTAGCTAATGGAAAACAACAGGTTACAAAGTACTACATGTACGCTACAATGCCGTTACTGTGAAAAAAAATTTAAAAGTTCATTTATTAAACATTTTTTAAACAGCTATTTACTTATTTATTTATGCATTTTCCTACACATGGACATTTAAGCCAGTTCAAAAATGTATATATTAGTAAATACCCTTGTTGGGACATTTTAGTGTTCTTGTCTCATTATCTCCTTAGGATAAATTTCTGGAAACTGAACTGCTTTTTTAATGGGACTGTCAGGCCATATCACCTTATGCCACAGACATAAGCATTACTGAGAATTGCAGAAAGCTTACCAAAGAATTAAATAATTTAATAATATCCCCAAATTCATGTACTGTAATGACAAATGGTCAGAAACAAGGCTGAGTAGTGTTCCTTGTTTGAAGAGACTGGCAGCGGAGGCAGGCTTTTGACTTGCATGCTTACTTTTTCCCCTGAAGATAAAGAGTCTTCCCTTTCTAGAGACTCTTTTTAAAAAGCTTAGTTGAGCTTTGGTAGAGCTGCCTCTGTCAGTTTGCCTGACCGCCTTTGGATAAGGAGCAATTTTCTTCCCCCAGGGGTCAGGATTCTTGTTTCTTGATGGGCATATTTTAATTGGCACAGCTAAGGGTTTCAACACGGTCACCTTTGTTTACCTATCTAGCCCGGTTTCTTTTCTTTCAGAAAATTAATTTTTCTCGCAGCTCTCGTTTTTTCACACTTGTGAATACACCAGCATTAGAATACACCTTCATTAACGGTAATGGCCGTTCTTTAAATACAGAAAGGGAACGAATAAGAGCTTGATATCTACCACACGCCAGGCACTGGGCCCACCATCAATATTCCCGGGCTGTATGAGGTGCTATTCTCATCCTTCTTTTACTGAAAAGGATACTTACGGTGTGTTGATTACCAGGCGGTCCCACTGCCCCTTGATGTCATCTTCAGATGGCTGTTCTGTGATATACAGGCCATCGAACTCCAGCTTCCTGGCAATTTCTTTTTCCCTCTTGAATACCACCAAGGGGACCTAGGAGTGGGAAGACACTGGTTACTCAGAGAAGGCTTTCTAATTAAAGTACCCTCTCCCAAGCATTTCTTAGACATCTGCCTTCCACCTTCAGGGCAGCGGTATCTTTGTGGTGGAATTCTTAGGGTGCCTAACTGTGGGTCCAAAGTCAAATAAATCTCTTCTCACTCCTTTAGCTAATACACTCCCTCTCTAAAGCTGATCTGATTTGAGCCATCCTTTAAGGTTTGGGTTAAACAGCTGTTATTAATGCAAACTGGACTCCTTGACCCATTCTGGTGAGAAGGCCATATTTAGATGAGTCCCTTAGCCAAATGTGTTAGGTCTCCTAAGACTCCTAGGCTGGAGCTGAACTAAGAAAGGATGATAAACTATTCTAGAATTGGTCAGCCACAGGAGTACCATGAAATGTTCCAATCCCCTCAATGGCTGGGATCATAGACATCGCATGGCTTTGACGTTTGGTTAATGAAACATGGTTTCGTAGATAGAATGAGAGGACTCACTGGGCTCTGTACATAGGTATTGAGGTTTTCTTCTTGAGATTCTTATCCAGAAATTCTGCCAGGTAGAAGCACACTTATTTGTCCTCAACTATCACTCCCCGTTCTCTTATAGTTCTAAGTCTGATTTTAGACTAGATATGGTGGCATGGCTATGACGACCTGCCACGAAAGAGGTACACAGAAAAGGATGGGAAAATAATCCACTCGCCCCAACCGTCACCAGACACCCCACACACACACACACACACACACTTTAAATACAGGACAGACTTAGTGAGGTTAGAGGATACTATTGAAATCCCAGAAGAAGTCAGAATAGCCAGAGCTCCTCTTGCCAGAAAAGCTTAATTCAGACAGAACCAGGGCATCTCATTCAGCTGGGAAGCCACTGGTTACTTAGCAACCTTGGTCTCCAAACTGTTTCTTTCAATAACTGTTTCTCAAAGCTCATGATACCCATATACCTCATACTGCCCCTTTTTTTCCAAGACAAAAAGACAACATTTAGATCATGATTTGTAAAGTGTTGCCTCTTGTTCTTTTTCTCTTTAAAACAATGAAACAACACTGAGGAAATAGAAGACTAATGATAGGAAGATGGTAAAGGCTAATAGTAGGCATTCCACACTGTGAGGAATCAACGATTGCTGTCCATTACTGGATGATGTGGGAGGGGAAGCAAAGACAAAGCTATGCTAATTTCTGCTGTATTTTGAAATTATTCAATAACAATAATATCAAACTTCAGCACAGTACTGATCTCTGGGATTCAAAGCATTCCCCTTCAATCTTGTAGGAGTGTGTATGGCCTTGTAAGTAGGACTTGTACATTTTGATTCCCTAGGGTTTCTCTTTTCTTTTCTCCAGGTCAGCAGTATGTCTGCACCCCATCCAACAAGATGACCTCTAGGGTGCTGACCTAAGGAACAGAAGCTAACATACCCTAGTGTTACTCTGTCTGGTGTTCTGAGTACTTTTACACACGTTAATGCATTTAATACTCCCAGCAACTTTTAGGGGTTGGTGGTATAATACTCATTTGTACAGATGAGGAAGCAGAGGAACGCAAGGTTAAGTGGCGGAGCTGTCAGTCCAACCCTGTTTGCCTAGCTCCAGAATCCATGGTTTTATCATGACAGTGGAGTCCTCAGTGTGGCTTAGGGCATCTGGACAACGTGATATCATAGTTCATCAGGAGAAGTGAGGGCCACAAGGGTAGGAATATATTTCCTGGACTCTTCCCAGGGAGAGGATGGCTTGGTGAACAGCCAAGGAGAATTCCTACTAAAGAGAAGTAAGTAAGAAAAAATGTAATGACCAAAAAAAAAAACATGTAGTTGAAAAAGAACTGGACTTAGCACACCAAAAGCAAAATGACTGAAGGTTGACGTAACTGTAATGGTGTCTGAAGATGGCCCTGATAAACCAGGTCTCCAGGCATGCATGCCCTTGTGTCGCCCTCCTCACCCCGTGTGCACAGATGGATGTGGGCTGGTCCTGTGATGTGCCTGAACCAACAGAATGCAGAAGTGACACTGCCAGTTCTGGCCTAAGCCTTAAGAAGGGCTAGCAGCTTTCAATTTTTGTGCAAGAAGTCCAGTTACCTGGCAGGAGAGAGAACGTGGAGAAGCCACATGGAAAGGCCGATGCCCCGACTACATACAGAGGCCCCACAACCCTGACTGAGCCCCACGACCCTGCCTGCCAGCCGTTCCCTCACTGACATGCCAGGCATGAGCGTGCCGTTGTGGGCAGTCTGGCCCAGCTGAGATCCCAGATGACTGCTGCTTCAGCCACTTGCACATGGAGAGGAGCTGCTCAAACGTGCCTAGCCAGTCCACAGAATCAGAAATATTATAACTTGTCATTTTAAGCCACTAAGGTTTGGGGTGGTTTGTTATGCAGCAAAAGGTAACTTTGAAACAGTAACTTATCAATAAGTTTTCTTCTAATATCTTGAACTGTGAAAACCTAATCAGTTTTCAAAGGTGAAAAGTATTTTTATAAAAATTCCAACAATTTAGAAGGTAAGAACCTCTCATTACTAGCTCCACATGGGCCTCAGCCTGATGACTGATTCTATGAAGTTCAGCAAGCGGTGCCTGAAATGGGACGAGAGAGTGTGAATACAGATCCCCTGGAGATCGTGTTAAATTGTGAAAGGCCTGGGGTGCGGCCCAGGGTTCTACGGGTCTAACCAGCTCCTAGGTGATGCCGCTGCCCCATCGACCTTAGTCTATCAGCAAAGATTTAGCGAACAAAGGGTTTGCAGGGTTCAAAAATGATGCTTCTTTGCAGGGAGTCAGGTCAGACTCCAAGTGGCCAGCGACTCACCTTCAGGCAGTAATAGCCCACCACACAGACGAAGGAGATGATGGTGTGGATAATGACCAGCGCCCGCAGCGTCGGGGCCATATACCCAGTGCTCTCCTGCAGGACAAAGAACACCACTGCTTCTTCCTCTTCCTCGTCATTGAAGGAATGCCACAGGTTTGTAACGTCCTCTGTCTCTTCTTCTAAAGGATCTTCAGTGACCTGGCCCAAGACACATATTCTCGTATTAACACCAGAAAAAGCCTCTGCCACCAGGCTCTCCCCACACACTTTATATTGCTAGTTTATGCTGTGCAAACAGTAGTGACTCAGCATTGCTTGCTGAGTGAATGAGGTTTTTGGGGTAACTTGTTCCTAGGAGCCCCCAGTATGTATCACCAGTAATTGCAAACAAAAATTTTAAGAGACAAAAGCTAGCTGTTGAGAAAAAGCAAAATATTTAAAAATTAGGGAAGTTTTACTATATGTGCTATGATCTGTGTGCCTCAGGAAGTAATCTCTGAAATGCTATAGCCTGGGAGGAGGTAAAGGCACGAACATGCACACACACATCTCTCTGAGATGCCATTAACATTCATGGCTTCAACCGCCATTCTCACACAGGTGACTCCCAAATCTCTACCTCTGAGACTTTCATCCTGAAGCTCCAACTCTGCTGGATATCGCCACCTGGATGCTGTGCACTCACTTCACCCTCAACATGTTTAAAACCAGGTTTTGTCACACCCTTCTACAGACTTTTGTTTTTCTTCTACAGGCAAGAGCCACTGGTTCAATGAGTAAAAGGTTGATGTGGGTAAAAGCATGTTTTATAAAAATCAGATTGCTGGCTTTGAGCTTAGAGGCCACGAGCTGCCGACAGAAAGCCCAGATGGCGACTGGCGCCCTCCACAACGAAGATTGAAGAACAAAAACTTGGCTAGTCCCCTTCTCCAATTCCCCAACACTGTTCCCCTCCCCCAACTCCCCAATAAAATCTTAAAAAAAAATCAGATTGCTGGTTTTAAATACTAAGGGAGAGAGGCAAGAGATAGACTAGCTAGTTAAAGTCCATGTCAAGAATCCAGGACCTGGCATTGATTCATTGATTCATTCATTCCACGAATGCCTACAGTATACATGACCCACTTACCAATGTTCAACGTCTTTATTTATCTTGATTAGTCCCTCTTTTCCCATATCCAGAAACCAACTCCTGTTAATTCTTCCTTAATAATAATTCTAACATATGGGCCAGCTATGATGGCTCTCTGTTATTCCTCAAGGAAAGAACTGTATTTATTATTCATTTTGGAATACCTTACAGTTCCTAATACAGGGTCTAGGACATAGTAGATGCCCAACAAATATTTGGAGAATTTATTAAGTCATGAATAGAGCAAGCCTGAATTATTGAAATAGTGCCCCAGCTAGCTTCCCTTGCAAGCAGTCTATTCTTATTGTATCCTTTTCAGAAGCCAGTTTCTTAGAAATGTCTTTCTAGTTTCTATTCTGGTTTTCTGAAAAAGTACATAGCATATGTAGCAAATACCGTCTGAAGTATCACCTTGTAAAAGAGCAGGATGAAGTTGATAGCGAAGGCTACAAACAGAGCAAGGAACCTCAGGTTGTAGAAATTCCTGGCCAGGTAGTGCTGAAAAGAAAAGGACAGACAGAAGTGGAAGAGCTTTGGAAGGGAAAGAGTTCTTCCCTCTCTCACAGATCTCGTCTGGTTAGGAGTTCACACAGGATTAGTCTCCACGCTTTGGTAACCTCTTCTAGGATAATCCTGGCCTTCCTATGACTTCTTTGGGGGAGGAACCAGAAATGGTGATTTAAAAAAAAAATGCTTAGAATGATGCTCAGAGGAGCCCTGCTCCAGCTTATTTTTCAGGGAACCAAATGCCTAAATAAGCCACCAGTACAGGACTCAAAAGCTGCTACTAAGGGGTGGTGGTGGCGGTGGTGTGTGTACTCCACACAGAAAGGGGTCTATTTGGAAGTTATGAGTGATTTAGGCTCACAAAAGACCCCCGCAGCTCCCACCCTGCATGCAGCCAGACTGTGGCCCAGAGTCCATGTCCCTTTGTAAGTCACAGCCCCAGAGCCTCTGCCTCGCCCCTCTCAGGGGGCACCATTCCCATCCTCACTGCCATTTTCCTGGAAAGGTCAGCGCCTGAGGACAGCTGCTTGGGGGAAGCTCTCAATCTCTCTGTGTAGGAGGCTCTCACCAATGGCACCCAGGAAGGTGTTGTCCCGGCCATCAGCGCCTGTACCTCAGTGGGCAGTTTGCCAGAGAAACATCTTCACAAGCTGTGCTGAGGGCTGATTGCATGTGGGATGACAAAGCCTCAGAGGACTAGCCTGAGAGCTTAACCTAACACAGGAAGATTCTTTCTGCATGCCAAATGATCCACTACTTCTGAACTTTGGACCGGGATGGGCTAAGTCCCCACAGAACACACACAGAACCAGCTAGAAAGAGGAGTGCCCGCTCTCTTGGAGAGAGCACAGGTTAGAGGGGGTATCCACTGCTGGGCAGAGAGCTGGAGCGCGTGGCCTTTTCCAGGTTTGCTCTTTTTCTTTTCCTCTAATACAAAAGGGACAGGCAGATAAACCAGGAGAGGAAAAGGGGGACTGAGAACGTGAGGCAGCTCAGCTAACCACAGGGTGAAACAAAGTCAGTGGCCACTTTGCTGAGGTCTGCCTGGGGCCAAGGTGGAGGGCTTACCAGCAACTTGGTCTGATAGATTTCCAGCCCTTTAAAGAAATTGGCCGTGAAGGCTTCAGGCTTCTCAACTTTCTGGCCATGCTGTCGCTTCTTCTTTTTGGTCGCTTCTGTCCACAGGGCCTTGGCTTCCTCTCCTTCTCTGGCTCTATACTCCTTCTCTCCATCTTCCATGCTGCAGGGACAAGAAACCCACTCAGCATGGAGGGCAGCGGGAGGCCTGGTCCAGGCAGGGAGATTGAATTAAAGGGAAAGCTTGTAATTATTCCCCAGGGGGCAGGAACCTCAGGTCTTTATCACCCAACAGTGCCTGGATATCAACTTTGTATTGAATGAGTGATGTCCACTCTGATGGCCGCGGTCAGAGATGTACATCGGTTAATAAATAAGTTTGTAGTCTTCTTCTAAAATTTGGATTCATGTTTTTCCTTCAGAAAAGGTGTCCTTTATTTGTTAAGACTTCATTCGAATTAGCAATAGTACCTACTCTTTTAAGTTTGTGGTAGGAATTAAATGAGATATTAGATTAGCACAGGGCCTGGCATGTAATAGGTACTGAATATATTAGATATCATCATCAACAACATTATATGCAGTTGCAAAATATAGGTGTTTGATCATTTGTTTGGCCAGATGGGGAAATTCTGACCTACTAGTGGGGTTATCAAGTTAACAAGGTTAATAATAGAATATGTTTATCGTATAGCTGGTGTTAAAGGAAATATATCCAGGGCTTGCACAGTATCTATTTCTTGTATTAATAGAAATCAAGTTTTTTATTTCCCATAGCAATAGAATAGTAGATGCCCTCAAGAACTACCTACTGTAGGATTGTGAGTACACAAAGCTACCAAGAACTTACTCTGCCTTCTCGGGTTCTACTTTTCCTTCTGAATCATGAGCTGCTTTCATCTCTGCTGCCTAGACAAAAATAACAATTAGTCAAGTTTTCCTCAAATCAGTGAGTTATGGTGATGGGTCATATCATTGGCCATTTTCATTTCCTTGGTCAGAACTCCCAATGGCCTTCTCGCTTCATGCTTCTGCTTTTCTCAGGATCATGGAATGTTAAGTGTCCTGCGACATATCAAGTTACTCTGGAAAGATGCCAAGACATAGATTGCTAACTTGAAAACCCCACTCCCTGTTATGATTCAACTCAAAGCGAAATCCTGTGCTAGGACACTCAGGGCCCCATGGCAGTGGGCCTACTGCCCTAAGGGACAGGGAGAGATGGGACACAGATCATACCTGGTCCAATCCAGAACCCGCGTCCATCAGACAGCACACCTGCCTTGTCTTCAGTCCTCTTACCTCCACCCCAGTCCCTCTGACTGATGACGGTTGAACTTAGAATTCCATTCAGGCTACTTACCAAGGTCTACAAAGCCCACATGATCATGGCCTTTCGCTCTGTGTTATCTGGCACCACTTGATTCGTTCATTCCTATACCTAAACACTCGGACCTCATGTCCTTTCTTGGGACATTCCAAATCCTTCCCTGAACCCGGACCCTTCACAACAGCCCTATCCTCTACCAGGGAGTGTGACTGCCCTGACTTTCCACGTGCCCGCCATCCCTCAGGACTTGGTTCAGATGACACCTTTTCAGAGGCCTCCTGGGCCATCCTATGTATAGTGGGGCCCACATTTGCTCTGTGACACATGTCCTTGTTCATTTATTTTAGCATGTGTCATAAGTGGTAATTATTTATTGGTTGTCTTCTTCCATTAGATGTTAAGCTCTGTTAAAGCAAAAATGTTGTCTCTCCTGTTAACCAACGTATTCCCATATCTTAGGAACACAGCCTGGCATGTAGCAGGCCTTGAATGAGTTCCTATTATGTGTCAAACTCTGTCCATACCCTACATCAGGGAGCAAAACAGAGTAAATTAATTAATATGGTAAGAATGCCTGTGATTCTGATGCTTCCTTTCCTGACTCTACAAACCACATGAGAGTTCTCGCCTACACATTTCCTTAACACCTGGCAGACCTCCTGCTTCACACTTATAGTGACTTGTCCAATGTGTATTTTTCCCACTAAATTATAGGAGCATTTCTCATTCACCACTGTATTCTCAGAGCCCAAATCAGTGACAAGCACCTATTAACTAGTCAATAAATATTAATGTAATGAATGAATAAAAGTTGTCTTTGGACTCTGATCTCTTCACACTTCTCTCCATACTCTCTTTAATACAAGAATGATGCTGTGAGCTGAGCTGGGTGCTGCAAGAGAGGAAAACACCTGAGGGCTGACCAAGGGCCAACTACCATGACCAAAGAGTTCTAAATTATTGTTATCTTATTCCCTGAATGTAGTTGACTGACTCAAAGTCCAAATTTCATAGTGGGTGCATCCCAAGAATGAAAATGTCCCAAGCATGATAAAACTCACTGGGACGCTGTGCAAAATCACAGGGTATCATCTGGACCTTTTGGGACGATGCAGAAGTATTGTCTCACAAGAAAAGTCTCCTGTGCTATACCTGGTTTTCTGTGCTTCCAGCTCACTAAATGAACCTGTCCACCGTGAGAACTAACCTTCTAATAAAAGTGTGGAAGCAAGGTGAGCATCACAGACCATCATGGTTGAACTCAACAATGTCAACTGAAGACCACTTACCAGTTAGATACAGACAACCATTTAAGTCTCGTTCTCTCCAGACATGGCAAAGCTGGAATTATAAAATCAGGGTAATCATAGGAAAGCTGGTATCTAATACATTGTGGGCTCTTAGGGAATTGGTATCAGTACTGATTGCAAGATATAATGGCAAGTCTTTTTCTGGGCATAAAGAAAGATGATGGAAACAAATGATGCTTACCTGTGCTTTCCTTTTCTTCCGTACAGTACTCTCTAGTGTAGGGGGTTCATCCTTGCCAATAATCTCCGAGAAGTCACCCAAACCCACTTCGGGCCCATGCTTTAAGCCACCTTCTTTCTTTGAGTGGAGTCCAAAAACACCTGACATAATATCTGCATCTCCTTTCTCACCCTTTATGAAGTGTACTAGTTCAGTGGTGATACCTGGCTCAGTCACTTCTGCCCTCTCAGCCTCCATAGCATCATCATGGATACCAAATTGGGTTGGATCAGGCATGTCCCCCAGGATCTTGGTCACCCTGATGTTCTTTGCTCCTTCTACCAGGCCCCCTCCAAACACTGTGTTCCAGAGGATCTGAAAGATTCCTCCCAATATGGCGAAGAACAATTGGAATAGTCCCACGAACAACATCCAGAAGAAAGAGAGTAACACCTTCACCAGCTCCTTCACAGTCATCTTTTTCACCTTCCTGTATTGCTTCCTGAGGTTTTTCAGGGTTGCCCTCTTTAGAAAGTTGGCAACATTTCTCTTTACTGAGGCACAGGCCATGGCAAACGCAGAGGCAGACTCAAAAGACTTCTCCTCCTCTTCACCCTCAATTTCTAACGTGTAAGAAGAATCTTCGTCTTCCTCCTCCTCCTCCTCCTCTTCTGGCCTGTCGGTTGAGTCAGATTCAGAGATCTGAGATGCTAACTGCATTTCAAAGATGGTATCCTCACAGAAGTTCACAAACAGTTCCATTTTTTCTTGCTCCCCACCTTCATTGACAACATCAAAGATGAACTGTCGCTTAGATTCCTTCACTTGGGGCTTTTCCCATTGAGTTCGGCTGGATTCACTGATCTCAAAATAAACACGCTCAATTTTCTTGGCTCCACCCATAATCTCAATGCGTCCCAGGTATGGTTCGAAGTAATTTAGCACACTTTCTGCTGGGTCCAACAGACACTTAAGCCGAGAATCATTTGGCATATGCTCGGAGAGATTTGTCAGTAACACTGCCACATTAAACCCTATGTCCTTGGCCGGCTCATGGAACCGGTCTACAAAATCCATGTAGTTAAACATGTCATTCTCATCAGCTTCTGCACACGAAAGGAGAAAGTCAATCTCTGACTGTGTGTACTGTTTCTGCCCTTCCATGGCCTTCTGGAATTCTTTTTTGGAGATAATCCCTTTACCATCTGGGTCATATTCTTTGAAGGTGTCTGAGCTGGTTAAGTCTTTAAGTTTCAAGAACATGTCAAAGAATTTCAAGATCATTTCTACATTGGTAGATGATTCTACCAGTGTGTCAACCATCTGCTTGCCAATAGTTCCATTTACCACATTCCCTGTGAGGCGGGTTAAAAAAGATATACAAATACATCAATAAACCCAAGCCATTGTGTAACTGGTTAGGTAGCTATTTTTAGAAGACTTATATGCCAAATCAGTCAGCTCTTTTCTGACTGTGGTGATTTGGAAATGGGCAGGAGGGAGCAGCAAGCCATAAAGACTACACCACTACGCACCAAGGGGGGAAGAAACAAAGGGAAGAAGGAGATGGCTCCACCAGGGCCTTTGGTCTAGCCTGGGGCCTGGGAAGTGGTTTTGTTATCAGATTATCGGGGACATGTAGGGATAAGTGGGACCCCTTTTATCCCCTTAGACCTAGGACGGTGCCCAACTCGATGGCTGGCATACACACTGGCAGCCAGATGTATTGAAAAGCAATGGGGAGAGGGAGAGGATAAGGAAGAGCGAAGCTTGGAGGTTTTCCCCAGTTCATTCTGGCTTTCCTATTGACATAAAATGAGTTGGTTTCAGGCTTTGTCCATCAGACCATGTGCCCCTCACTCATTTTTTTGTTGCTGGAAATTTAGCTTTCTAACCAATGTCATATGGCATCATCAATGACCTGCCAGAAGGATAATCTGTGTGGTTAGTATGGTTAGTGCTCGGACCAATTACAGTTGTGTGAATGCCTAGTTATACCAAACAGCCCAACCTTCCAGGAGGGACAGAAGCATCACCACCATGTCCTGAAGGAGATCCAAGAGTTCCTTCAGCAGCTCGATCTGACTGGAATCCTAGAACAGAAACAGGAGATACCCCTGAGCTATCTGATCCCTCCGCAAAGTACAGGGCAGCGAGCAAGAAGAGCCTGCTCTGGAAAGGTTAGGTGAAGGCTGTGTCATCTCGGGAGTGAGCTCCCTTCTCATTGTGAGTGTGGACGTCGTGCCATCCGCTGTGTGCAGCATTGGGAGGCTCAGTGTAGCAGGGTTCAGCCAACAGCTCTCCTTCACATTTTTCCTTTTTATTAACACAGTGTGGCAGATATAACACTTGTTGTCCAAAACTATTGAACAACCCAATCTACCAAAGAGCCTTTAGGTATCTCTAGTAGTTTATGCTGTCTTTTTATACTGGAGAAATACAAGTGAGCTTTTGGGGACTACTGCAATCCAATTAAGGTATCAAGATTATAATCACCAAGTGAGTTCTCCTTTTTTTTTTTTTTTCTAATGGACTAATTTAGGTTCTAGCTGGTGGTGATCTGGTCCCTTAAAATGGTCTATAATTGAAGGCTATACCTCTGGGTGATTTTGATACTAGTCTGTTTGGTTTTCATCCCAGCCTTGCAGACAGGGCATTGGCAAGTTAGCACTGTACTTATACCCTATTGTCACAGAAGGCAGACAATCCTTGGAAGATCTGAGGTGGGCAATCTGAAGGGGAGATTAAAAAATGCATCTGGGCCACACTTTGTTTACAGACTCTCTCACAAAGACATAGTTGTTTGTCTAACCCTTTAAATTTCAGAGGGATTTCACCCCACCTTTGGTGTGTGTTATAGCTATATACAAAATAGAAGTGTAGGATATTAGAGCTGGAAGAGATCTCAGAGATCATCTATTCTGACTCCCAATATTTCACAGATGATGAAACAAAAAACCAGCAAAGGGAAATGACTTCCTAAAAGTCACCAGTGAGGAGGTGGTGGGACCAGGCTCAAGGCCACCGCACTGCCCAGGCTAGGGTGACACAGGAGTCAGTTGGCTGACATGTCACTGCCGAATTAGCAGCCCTCCCAAGAACTCTCTCCTCCCATAAGGCCAGAGTCAAAAGGGGAAAAATGAAAGGGTTAAATAGCACATTCCAGAAGAGAGGAGGAGGATGTGACAGCCTTGAAAATTTTAGGTACAAGTTATTTAAATTAAGCCTGCAAATGTTATTCTAATCAGCCTGAAACATCCTGACGCTCTCCCTCACGTGTTGCCATGGAGAGAGGCAATCAACTACTACATACACTACATTTATTTGTTCATAATAAATGCTCTGAGCGATTCGATTCATTTTGCCAGAGAGATGGGGAGTGAGAAGGAAGGGCAGAGATGGGGAGGGAAGGGGAAGCCAAAGGAAGAGAGAACGGATACGTAAATTAAAGAGACAGGCAGACACTTGACAGATCAGACAGGGCTGGTAGATTGTTATAAACTGACAAAGCAGGGACAAGGAAGCAACAGGGATTAGCATCACAAAAAGCAAATGTTGAGGCACTTATGAACAGGGTAGGTTGGGGGGACACAAGGAAGGAAGCTGCATCCATGCAAAAGCCTGTCTGGGGGCATTAGTTCCTGTCTCCCATTTAGACCTACGTACGGTTTTAAAAAGGGGACCTAATCTGCATGACTTTTGCAGCCATTTGTTCATACAGCCAAATCCACAACGGGAATACCAAGAAGTGCGGATTGATTTAGCATTTCACACCGACGGGGGGCTCGTTGGGGACAGGCCACAGTACCTGAGAGAGTTTCATTTGCATGTTAGCAAAGACGTGGAGGAAGCCGACCACTGCGTCCCACAGCCTGCTGTGAGCCAGGCTCTGTTGGTTCCCAATGCAAGGCCCCTGTGGAGAAGGGGACGTCCTTATGTCACTTAAACACCACCAGCTGCTCTGAGACGTGCCCTAGGAAGGGCATTTGACACCAGCTTACATGAACAGATGGCTCCTTCCAAAAGTCACATACTTTGTGCTCAATATTTCCCCAAGATACTACCTCCTCCCCCATCATAGGATCCTATGTCTAAGCAAAAGCCACCAGGAATTTCACAGTCTGCTGATTTCCAGAGATTTTCTTTTAGCCTCAGAATGTGCTCTTCAGATATAATCGGACACTGAAGAACATCATTTAAAAGAGTTAAATGTTCTGGTTGAAACAGAGTTGAAGGCCACTCCTGCTCATTCTCATCCATACCTTGGCCTGTGAGGGGTTCTGAAAAACTCAAGGGTTCTGTGGAGCCCAATGTGAAAACCTGTTATCTGGCAAAGCTACATGTAAAATGCTATGACCACATGGCTATCTACTCAAGTAAAAAAACAAAACAAAACAATGACTAATATTCCTTAAAGAGGTTTATTTGTTTTGTTTTGAATGTACATGGTATATTAATTTTTTTTTAGCTGAGTCATCCTGTCACCTGTTGGCAGCTCAGCTCAGGCTGGGCATTGAACTGCTGTTGCTCAGAGCTCACACTCTTGAGCGAGCTCTTAACCAACTGAGCCACTCGGCCGGCCTGATTAATATTTCTAGTGTTCAACTACTTTTAGGGTTTTCTTATCATTAACCTGAACGTCAGGCATAATACCATCTCTAACTATGTTTTCTGAAGGAACAAACACAGAGAGATAACAATTACCAGTTTGTATTTTCCATGTTAATAACCTTGCCTATTTTTGAAGATCATTACTGAACCAATATTTCTTATCCTAAACTCTTCCTTATAGTTTATTTTTCTACCCTTTAATCAATCCCCAAACCACTCTTTGATAAGGAGTTTCTGAGAAGAGCACCGATACTGTCTCAAGTTCTAGAAAAGGCTTGGCAGAATTCCCAGGCACGAGGCGAGCAGGAGAAATAGTGCCTAAATCATGTAAGCCTGTCTAAACCACTGCTCATGTACATTTGGTTCATGTACTGTACATTCCTAGAAACCTCTAGATTCTTTTTGGAACAAAACTGTGTTGAAAGAAACTCACAGTCACTTAAAATAAGCTTCTTCTTTACTTTCTGGTTAAAGTTCTCCCTGGGAAATTCTGAAGATTAGGGTGGGCTCTGCAGAGAGCAAATCAGATGCTTGTCAAATCTATTCAATGATCTTCCCAGGTACAGTAAAACCTTGGATTGCAGGTAACTTGGTTTGTGAGTGCTCCGCAAGATGAGCAAACATTTCCAATACATTTTAACATGGTAAACGAGCGATGTCTTGCAATACAAGTAGTTTGTTTCCAGAACAAATTATGCTCGCAAACCAAGGCGTTACTGTATTTCACATTCTGTGACACTTCAGATGAGTCACCTGTTCCTAGGTTTATCTCCCCATGTTCTTACAATCCTTGGGTGACATCTATCTTTTAAAACCTCCTTGTCAAGTTGATAGTCTTAGTTTTGTGTTTATTTTAATAAGCATATATGATCTGAGTGTGCCAGTTGGCTCATCATATGGATCTTTACAAAATTTATATAATACAACTGTGATATGGCTACTGATTTTATAGCAAATTATGCCTGAATACATCCTTTATTCCTTTTCATGGTAGCTGGACCACTGTAGGCAATGAACAGAGAATGCTGTGAACAGAAAAAGAATGCTGCAAGATCTAGACATTCGACCTAAAATTCACTTGTAGTTTTAACTGCCATTGCACATAGTTTATGAGCTTCTGAAGTTACCTTTTCCATAGAGTTAATTTCTGAAAAATTAGTAGGATCTCATATTTTTTTAATCTTAAGGCTCAAAGTAACATCATGTATCCCTTTATTCCTTCATTCTATTAGTCATTTCTCTGCTCCACTCTTTACACTTACTGAACACCTATGATGTGCTAGACATCGTGCTAGAAATGAAGAATTTTAAATTGAATAAGAAGTTTTCCATCTGCAGAAAGTTTTCAGTCTGGGGGGAAAGCAAAACGTAACTAGAGGAATGCAAATAAAGTGTGATAATACTATGAACAGGTCACAGTGGGGGACCATAAACCATAGCTTCTCATGGACTGTAGGTACTATGGGTTCCTATTTACAGATAAGAAATATTGTCAGCATTAGGGCTGGGGGCACAGTCCACATGTGCATCCAAATATTCTCTAGAGAATTTAGAAGATAGGAGCGTCAAAAATGCTCTCTTTGTTTTCAAGCACGTACTCCGTCTCACATACCTGGATGTATTCAGTAAGAGAATTGAAAATCTGCTTGGTGACCACCAGAGCTTTGGAGAAATTGTGCTGTCCAGATTCATCAATGATGTCCTTCCCTGAATAATACCAGTAGAAATCACTGATTGATTCCTAAGGACAAACAAGCAGAGTTTAGTATTTCTCAAGCTTTGGTCTGTGTAGCTGAACTCAATGCTAGGGAAGAATACCAGAGAGTCCTATATCTCCATGACCTCTTTGTCATGACAGGAGCCTGGGGCTCTGTGAAGAAGCAGAGGCAGCGGATCCCTAACCTCTGTGAAGTACACATATCCCTCCGCAGGCAAGAACAGATAGAAGAGAGGACAGTGTTCAGCTGGACCTCGGTGACTATGATATAGGACAATTTATTCACAATGAAAAAGGTACATTAAAGATAATTATGGTGATCAACCAAATAATCACCATAACAGTAACAACCTAATAGTTAACACTGTGAGTGCCAGGCACTGTTCTGAGCACATTAAGTATATTAAACCTCTCAATCTTTACTGTCACACTATGAAACGGGTCCTACCCATTTTATAGATGAGAAAACTGGAACACAGGGAGGTTAAACAGATTGATTGCTCCAGGTCCCAAACTGGTAAGTGGCAGAGCCAGGATGAAGAATCAGCAAAGAGAAAAGAGAATCCTCTCTTAGGTTTGTGTAGATTTTCTTGATATTATTTGGATTTTCCTTCAAACAATTAAAGCAAGTGACTGCTCAACACTAAGAATTTGTAGATTCATCTTGTTCCCACCACTTTCTGGAACTCTTTCTCCTACTGAATAACCTGTTCTCATTCACAGGTTATTTTATAGCTGTGGGGCATTGTGGCCAGGTTTTCACTGGCGAAAGTAAACCAGCATTTATAATAAATGATGTGGCATTTTAACCACTCCCTCCACTTCAGTCTTCAAACATGCGAACACACTTTTTAGGTACAGCAGATCCTCGAATAAGATTGTTTTGTTCTGTGTTGCTTGGTTATAACATTGATGAGATGTCCTAAGACCTTAACTCTTAATTACATCCATTCGCCTATGGTAAAATTGGTTTTATTACATGTCATTTCACTTGCAGTCACAGAACCTGCTGACAACATTAACTCAAGACTTACTGTATGGACTTCCCTATAAGTGTGTGGGCATAGATGACAATACCTTCCCTATTGGGGCTTGACTGTATCCTGGGCCCTCCTGGCCCCTGTGTAACTGTCTTTAGCTTTTGGAAGTACCTCTGAGACATGCCACCATCCAAGGCCCACCTACCTGAAGACGCAGAAGGTAGTCCACAGTGCTGATGATGACATTCACAGTGGTGGTGTTGCCCATCTGAGTCCGCAGGAAGTTCTGAAAGTCTGACAACACCAGGGCTGGGTCAGAGTCCGACCCCATCATGCCAAGGGAGCCAGTCATGCTCTCTTGGCTAAATTCAGAAGAGGCAAACTACGTGAAAAGCCTTACAAGGGCACCCTGTTTGGGTCCTGGTGTCTCCTGCAGGACAAAATGCTGCCCTGAGCCTTCCCATCCCAGTGTCACCAGAAACTGGACCTAATGATCCCTGAGGGACTTGATAGAAAGGGTTGGGTGTTTTGTTTCACCATATGAAGATTCTGGAAGCAGTTTAGCCTTGGTGGCATTACATAACATGAGCCTTGGGTTAAAGGTCATTTTACATGGGGCTTCTTCCCTTCTTGAGAACGAATTAACTGTTGTCCTTGAGTTAGAACCTGGTTGTACCAAATGCAGCATCCTGAACTGAAACGTCATTTTGCACCTGAATGTTGTTTTCCCTTGACAAATCAATCTGTGCCACTTACCATTGTTATGTCCTTCACAGAGTAACTGTAGGAATCTAAAGAGATCTCGTGTAAACTCGTCATTCTGGAGTACTTTTTCACCTTGAAAACAGAGAACACTGGTGAGCATCTGTTTGCTTCTCAACACAGAACATCTGCCTATGCAAACGAATGCAAAAAACACTAAAGGAGCCGTCCCAGAGTGGTTCGAAAGGGGAACTCTGGATGAATGCTGATACACCCAATGAACTCAGAACTGAGGCTGCAGAACACAATGACCAACAAAGCTAAAATATTTAGCCCCCGGATGCAACTGTAAGGAAAACAGCCAGGCTAGTAGCAGCAATGGTTCACAGTCCGTCACCCATGCTCTATAAACAGAGGACTCTTCTTTAATTAAGCATCAAACTGCTGAGTTAAACTTGACATGCAGTCACCAAGCCTAAAATGTGGAGGAGCTGAGGGAATTACATTGGGTCCCTTCGGACGCACACATGGTAGGAACTCAGGCCAGAAACTCAAACTTACCACGCTCACGAACAATGACTGGTGATAAGAGAAAAACAGAATAGAAAGTAAGAAAACAATAAACACCATGATACACTGTCTTTAGCTAAGTTTGGCTCTATGAACACATCCAGACTGCGCTGGCTTTTAACAAAGCTACTGATGAAAATATTTTGCTGAAATGGAGCAAGTCCTTGCAGAATTAGAAGAAGTAAGCAGGGCTCTAACTAGAAATAATCAGGAAGAGAGTGTGGCCTTCACATTCATTAGTTACTTACGTGTTCCTTCCTCAGTAACCATCCCCAGGCCTTCAGCTTTATTCTGCCTCTCAAATGCGTTCAAATCAAGGACACTTGTAATAGACAAAAGGAAGCAAGGTCAGGGCTACACACACTGGGATAATGGATTTCTAACGCCAATGTTCCTATTGACCAAGAATATCCTGCCCTTATATTATCATAAATGCACTAATGCATAACAGTGTGTTTGAGAGTCTAACGGTTCCCTGGGTTTGTGCCAGGCAGCATTGCCCAAGGATGCCTGGAGCTCAGAGGCCTTGTTATACACATGGGGAGGATCAGAAACACTTATGGTGACTATCATTGTTTGTCCAGTTTGAGTGCTTGCTGATGGACGAAGACTTAGAAAGGCTTCCTAAATAAAGAAGGAACAATTTGTTTCTAAGACTTTTCAAGGGCAAGTTTGCTTTACACTGCACTAATGAATGTTCACTTCCCACATTTGCATACTTTCTCTGAGAATCACGAGGAATTGTTGCTTTTAGTGATTAGGATGAATATTGATGGCGAGAGCTACAAACTTCCAGATTTTGAAGGGCCATACCTTAGGATTCCTGGATTATTCAGGGGGTGAGATTAAGCTTTCTAGAGGCAATGGTGTCCCTTCATTTTTGTCCCCACTTTCCTCAACCTTCCCAATCACAGCCACCATCAAAGCCTACTTAAGTCAGGAACCCCGAGTACAACCATAGATTTTAATAATGAGGACACTGTATGATATTGTTTCCAATTGGGGCTCATTGTACGCTAACAAACGCTAATTCCTTCCCCAGTCTGGAAGGTTTCATAGAATATAAGAACATAGGTCTCATAAGAATATAGCTATTAAGGAAGCTTTTGGCTGAATCCATTAAGATTCAGCAAACCCCTGCCTGCCTTTTACCACTGGGCAAAGGAAATGACCAACAGATAGGAAAGACATGACAGAAAAATCCAGCACCTCTTTCCTCCTTTTAGGAGTCACAAACACTCTGTAATTTAGATGAATTTTAATAAGGAAACAGTGAAAATTCCTAATGTCATCTTGTTGGTTCTCCCCAGATTCTGCTGTAAGAAGGGTTTCTTCAATAACATAAAACTATTCTCCTATTTTGGTTTTGCTATCAAGGGAGGAGAATATGGACATAGCTGCTTTGACGCAGCACTTCCGATTTAAGAGACAATCTGTGCAACAGACATTTCTGACCCTTACTCCACTCCAAAGCACCCATTTCAAATGTTTTACTTTCTCCAATGCATATTTTACAAATATGTATTATTTTCATAATTGGCAAAAAAACCATTAAAATTTCTTAAAACTTGTTAGAACTCAGTTGGCCCCTAAGGGTATGTCACCTGTCCGTCCATTATAAGTGAGTTTAGCATGAGCTAGATAATTATAACTTTGATTTCTTTCAGAGTGAGTTGCAGACCGTTCAACACACATGTGGATCTTAGAGAATGAGTTGACACTTTTCTTAGAAAGATTTCTAGCCCATTTCTGAAATGAGCAAGTATGGTGACCTTCTGACTTTTGGTTATGTATTGTTCATTTGGCGGAGGGTTCAGCCATGAGGGGAGGCTTAACTAACCTGGTAATATAAACAAAAAGTTTAATGCTATGCTTTTTAGGCTATGCAAAAATGTTCCCATGTTAGGATGTAGGTCTGTCAAAACGGATGTGTCGAAGCATGTACCCACCAAAATACCTTTTAAGGCTCAAAGATTAGTTAAGGATAAAGATGAACAAAGTGCCTAATGGGTCTAATGAAAACACAGCCTTGAGTTACAGTGAGGTGTTCCTCTTCTTTTTCTATTTTTTTCTGGTTTGACTTTTACGAGCATACATGTTTAGGAGAAACTCATAATTCTAAGGATAACACCACAACAAAAAAGGAGGTGAGGGTGATTAAAAAGCCAAACAATGGTGTGTAAGAGTGTGAGAGAGAGAGAGAGAGAGTGTGTGTGTGTGTGTGTGTAATAGAGATTACATGTTCCCCTCTGAATATTATTTGAGTGCCACCCTGAGGCTGGAAGAACTATATCTACCCTCTTTGCTTTCTGAAGTAGGTGAAGCCTTTCTCAATACTTCCATGATAAGCCAATTTATTTTGTAGCCCTCTCCATCCCATTTCTGTTTCCCTTGAATAGTAGAGTTTAAAAAAACCAAAAATGCTGTGGGTGGTTTTCCCTTACTTACCTGCAAGACTGCATAAGACCAGAAAGGCTTTGAAAGAATCCGGCATCCTTTTTCTCCTTTAGGTAATCTAACATTTTCTGCAAAGGAGACACATTTGAAATGGAAAAGCAATGGAAACGATGCCACAAGTAGTGACCCGCCTATCGTAATGGAGAAGTGGCAAGTCCTAGCCACGCAGGCACATCGAGTCAGATCCAGGTGGTGGGTTGTGACCCTGGGTAAGCATCAGAGCCGCCTGTGGACTGAAACCTGCCATGTGTCTGATCCCTACCCTCTACTTATAGAACCAGAATCGTTTAGGGTGGACATTTTATTTTATAAAGGCCCACTGGTATTTCTGCTAGGGCAGTGTGGTAGATCTTTGACATTCATACATTTACTGTTTGAAGTCTCTCCTGTTTGGGAACAAGTGCCCAGAGCACGATCTAGTGGCTGAGGTATAATACGAACAACTCATGCGGTGAGTCTGACACACTGAACCTGAGCTCAGCCAGTGACGAGCCTCATTGAGAGCGCAGTATCTCTTTTACAGTCAGGCTTTCTTTGTTACTGGGAAGGCAGGAACTTTGTCTGGCATTATAAAAATTTTGTTTCATTAAAAAAAGAAAAAAAAAAAGGCCCTACAAGAAAATCAACTGATGGAGTGGTGATGGAAGAGAACAGAAAGTGAGGAGTGTCTTAGAAAATGTTAGTACTTAATGAGAAACTTGTTTGGGATGAATTAAATACTGGGAAAAATTATATTCAATTTAATAGTTATGAACTTGGAGAGTCTCAAAAGGCCCTGGGATATAACCCTCACAAATACCAAATGTCTTTGAAATGTCACTTTCCTGTGCACAGATACTTTTAGCCAGAGCCCAGAGCACCCAGGAGACACCGGTACATTCCTGTCTTCTGCAGCCAGTTTCAACTCAGATTGTTGCGTGAATTCCATGTGCCAGGCACGCTGCTCTATGCTGCTATGTGCTGTCTCATTTAATGCACGGTGGCAGGGGTTTTATTTGCATTACTCACTGCTACACTCTCCACCCCTAGAACAGAGCCTGGCTATAGAGCACAGTCAGCAATCACTAAACAGTTGTGAATGAATGAACGAATGAATAGGTATGTGGGATTATGAATCCCACTTAACTGATCAGGCTCTTTGCTCACAATAAGGCAGCTACTTCAGTGAAAAGGTTGAAATAAAAAATCAAGGCTTAGAAAACTACAGCATATTTGTGCAAAAAAATCATTTAACGATGAAGCAAAAATATGTTTTTGTCTTTGAACCCTGGGTAAAACCTCTTAATTTATCTGTCGACTCACAGCCTGGTTTTATCTGTGTTCCCAGCTACTTGGATATAATTGGCCACTAAAGACAAACACCAGTCAAGGTGATTCTGAGTGGCTCCCTCTGCAGCAGAGTCAACACCTCTTCCCTAAAGTATGACAGGTGTCAAGTGGGAATATCCCAGGAAGTTTGCACCATCTCCCATGAGTCCCTATTACCTGTTGCACACCCGCGTTGCCTCCATTCAGGATGGCGATCCCCAGCTTCAGAGTCTCCACCACCATGGGGCTCATCTCACCTGCCGTGGTGAAGATTCGATTGAGTCACCAAGGAAACAGAGGGTAAATCACACCTACTGGGCTTTATCAGGACTCTTTAACAAATACAGTTCTATGGTATTTACAGGGGCCCATCCAGAAACCATGGAAACCACCTTTGCTGGCACTTATCATCTGAAGGACCATCTCTGCGGCACCACGCTCATGCAGCCGAGCTTGCTGATAGAGGGTTTTCTGCTTTTCCATTTCTTTCTCCTGGAAAAAAAATGCACAGGGCAAGATTTGTTTATCCCCAGGGAATTCACTGTTGAGAGAGATTACCTTTACTTGCCTAAGGAAGGCAACACACATAAAGCAGATCTCTGAAGTTTATCTTCTGATGCTACCCAGCTTTCCAAATGTGTCTGCCCGTGGTGCATTCATAGTTTGATGATGCAGTTTCCACTTTTTATACGGAGAGGAGACACCCTCCATTCCCCTTTTATACTGTAATTATAGGAAGTGATCCCAGGTTCAAATATGTTTGTTTTCAATGTTCTGTCATATAAGGAAAACGACTGAGGGGTCAACAGGAGTATATCTGTCTGAACGTAGAGAACACCCACTTATCTAGAACACTCAGACCACAGTTAACAGGTACTTTACCAGATTATGGGATACTAGAATGTCAAGGCTTTCCAGAACTGCAATTATAGTCATTTACTTAAGTGGCATACTTTGTCAATAAGAGAGTACAAGTCAACTCATATAGTTTTATCTTGGGAGATTCAGGGCTCTGCACTGCCTCAAAATAAAAATTGCTATTATCACATTTGCAGAATAGTAGTGCACAACCCATCCCAGTGTCCTCCATGGCCTTGCGGTTTCATTTTTGGGTGTTTGAGTTTGTCTTTCTACGGCCCCTGTTACAATCATAGTACTTGGGTAGAAGTAGAAACTTTCCCAGAGGAACAGAGTGGAGTGGTGTGCTGACTGACTGACTGACTGACTGACTGACTGACTGCCTGCCTGCCTGCTTCCCTTGTCAGGAAGAACCACAGAACCACCGTGAATGGGTGTGCTTTATTTAGGCAGACATGTGTGTCTGCCAGCAGATACACATGGGGGAGCCACATGGCTCATGTCAGCACCCACTGATGAAGGCCCCGTGTGCTGTTGGCTTTGGAGGTGGCCCTGTTTTCAATTTTCCTGAAAACTCACTTCAAATGTTTTTTCCTTGTCTTCCTCTTCTTCGTCGTCCTCCCCACTCTGACAACTCTGGATTTCATGGTACAGGGAAAAGAGGAGACAGACAATCCAGTTAAAGGTGAACCTAATAAACAAGGCTCTGTACTGGGCCAGGGCAAGGGACAGGATGTAATAATGCACAGGCACCTTGGGACCTCAGCACTTGGTAAAACCAAGAACACTTTGGCCACCGCAGGGCAACATTCTACGCTAAATGCCACCGTTGCAGTTACCAAGGGGTTCAGAAACAAGAAACGGGAACACTGAGATCACACAGTCGATGGGGCCTTATCTGGTTTAAGCACAGGCCTGAACTCTTTGACCTAATAAAGTTCTGCTGGAAATCGAGAGACAGGAGTTCAGGGAGCTGTCCCTTTCGAAACAAGAACCAGGGGCTTGGCAAGAAGACCAGAGACCCTAGGATGTGAATCCCCAAGTGCCCTGTCCCTTCGTCACCCTGTGGTGCACCTGGTAAAGGAACAGGTGCCCTGTACCCCAGCATGTTCCCCTTCCCGCCTGACACATTGTCCCATCCGAGAAGGAGCAGTCCCCTTAACCACTCAGTGTTCCAGAGGCCACCGTCCCTCTATGTGACACAGAAACAACATCTCTGGACACTCTGCCTCTTCCAGAACACCAGGACCTCCCTCTAATTTCTAAGTCTATTTCCACGTGTACTGAACTTCCTTCAACGACAGACGTGTTTGAACTATCGGACGTGTTCTGAAAATTGAGTGGAATTGCAGGAGCAGCCTGTAGGCCTAAGCGCTTCAGCTGGCTTAGAACAGCCACGTGAACCTAGCCACCAGCACCCACTGCTCCTTGCAAAACCTCAAGGTTTTCTTAGGAAGAGGGTAGAGTGGTTTACTAATGTCACCCGTATGGCATGTGTGCTGTGCCCTGCCTGGAGCCCACGTCATGAACGAGTCCCAGGACTGCTGCTCAACATGACAGTTTCCGTGTGCCCGAAGAACTCTAAGGGAAGACAAAGACTGAGATGGTGGGCAGCAAACCCAGGTGTACCTTGGCCATCATGCTGGAGTAGGAGGTGTACAGAGGGTCGTCTTCCAATTTGCTGCAAGGAATGGAGGAAATATTTAACAGGCTACCTTCAGGGCCCAGCAGGAAAGACTAAGAGCCCCAGAAATCTTAAATTATATGCACTAGTGAGTTAATAAGAACCTCCTTCCCCCCACCCCGATTTTTAGAAACCACCCTGAAAGTCTGCACCGGCTTTACACAGAATCCAGGGCTGAAGGTTTCAGGCTGTTTCATCTGCAGACCCAGTCAGTGTCTGGCACTACGAGGAGAGGGCTGTGGCTTATGGAGTTCCCCTGGGTGTTCCCTGGTGACCAGCACTAGGGCAGCAAGAAGGCTGCTCAGATCTGGCACCGCCTTTCCAGACACCGCCATCAGCGAGAGAAAGATGGGGAGGCGGCCATGCCTGGGGCCTGGGGGAAGCAGGATGCCCTGACGGTGCTGACCTCCTCTCCGTGAGAGCATTGCGGCTGAAATGGAGAATGATCTGGTGAAGCGGGTCTGGCTGCTTGTCCGTCTCCTCCTCCTCCTCCTCTTCCACCTTGGGAGATTGCTACACAAACCAATGCAGACAGGTGTTAGGCATGGATTTCAGCACGTGCCGCACAACTGCATGCGAACGGAGAGAAGGTAAAGCGCAAGGCACGGAGAGCATCAGACTAAAAGCACTGAGAGAAACCACTATGTCATGTGTTTATTTCAGGGCAGAAGCCCTAAGGATGCAAGGCTGGGGATATAAATGTATAGAGAGAGAGATATATTTTTTCCAGCCAATCAAGGAAACATTCCAATTTGGGGTTAAAATAAAACGAAAGGAAAAGCCAAAGCCTGGCCACAGGGGAGGGGCTCCGGACCCCAATTGCAGGACTCTCATGCAAGCTCTGGGCACCCGAGTTCAGGGGGGACGCTCTGGGGAGTCAACCGAGAGCCCGGATCTCTCGGCCAACACCTGAAATTTCTCTTGGGAGAGTGGGGCTGGAAATAGGGATGGGGCAAGAGTTACACAGTCCTGGGGCCATTTGGGGGCTGATGCTACTTTAGACTCAGCCTAGCTAAACATTTCTCTTTTCTAACCTCACTTCTGATTCGAAAAATCTTTTTGTTCCTGAAAGATGCCATCCGGGAGCTACAAGCCTTGCAGCTTCTCCTTTTACTGAGTCTTTTCTCTATCTCCTGTTACAGAAAGGGGACTAGCAGCTGATGTGAGAGGTAATAGTGAGTTTTCTAGCACAGCCAGCAGGGTAGGCCATGTTCAGTAAACTGGTGAGAACTGCAGAGGTTGTGTGAATGGTTCAGAGAAAGGGGAGGGCTGAAATGATGCTCACTGTCAACTTCACACTAATCAAGAGACTGGGGAAAACCAAGGAACTGTCTTTGTCACCAACAGGAATATATGAAAAGAATGGAGGGTATAAAGAAAAATGGAAGGAAAAGGGGAGGGAAGGATTAAAGGAAAAGAGATGGGCAGAGGAAAAGAAATGGGGAGAAAGGGAAAGACAGAAAAAGAAAGAAACACAGGGAAGACTGAATATAAGAAACACAGGGCAAGACTAAAGAGTAAGGGATAAAAGATGAGAGAGACAGAGAGAGAGAGAGAGAGAGAGAGAGAGAGAGAGAGAGAGAGAGAGAGAGAGAGAGAGAGAGAGAGGGAGGGAGAGAGAGAGAGAGATAGAAAACGAAGAAAACAAAAACAACCATGGGTTGGCCACAGGAAAAGAGGGTTTCTTTTCTTTCTGAACCAGGATGAGGCACTGTGGTGCTGTTGCAACCTACTTTTCCCCTTTGTGTGCCATTTTAAGTAGTTTTCGAGCATGAAGTCTGTTAGAGACAGGGCATGACAAGTTTTCTGAAGGGCCAAATACAGAAATGTGAGCTGCAGGAAGGAGATTCTGATATGCTTTCCCCAAAGCAGAGCTACTGGCCAGAAATGCAGGGCCTTGGCTAGGGCGGGTGGCCTCCTCCAGGCAGTGGTGCTCAAAACTTAACTTAGCTCGGACTTTCCATGGCATGGCTGTGCGCTCGAAGAAGTGTTAGCTGTTAATGATGATGATGAGGATGATAAAGAGTACTAGCACCTCCAAGTGAAATTCATCCTCTGGCTCTTAGGACCATTAGCAGGGCTTCCCCTGATAATTTATGCCGTTAGTTCCTTTCAAATTTACAAATTCGATTCTTTGTGAATCTTGAACTGCTATAAATGCACACACAGGAACACAAAAACCAAATTCATTCACACCCATATCTGCTCCCAGTTGAGTCAGTACTTACAGCCAAATCCTGTACTAGTTTCTCTTCAAAGGAATACTCCTCTGTTTCTATCCAAAATCTCTGATAGCCATGGAGGAAGAGGTTAATAGAGCGGTGCCTGAGCGGAAGGGGTGAGAGTGAGGTCAGGAGGGGTCCATGGGACATCTTGTTTTAGTCTGGGCAGTTAACGGTTAGTAAGCAGGACAGACTTTTGTACAATTCTTATCTTCTGATTGGTCAGGGTAGCCAGTAGCACACCAGAAGCATTTACTTCAAAGAAAGCAGAACTCTCTAACATGGTGTTTCCTGAATGTCTGGAACACCTTCTGAATGAACTAACAGTGGTTAGTGTGAGACCCATGGTGGAAGGTAACAATGGTTAGCGGAAGGTAACCATAATCCTACTCTGGTCTCACAGGGTCTTTATCACATTTCCTCTCTCATGTGAAATAATTCGCTAAGGAACAGCCCAGAAGTATTTGCTTAATACGGTAATTTGGTTTTCCCTTTTGGCCAATCACTTCTCCAGGTAATCCAATCTAAATCCTGCTGATGGTGAGTGGGTTAGTCTCAGATATACTGAAAACCGCAAAGTATGGCTTCTTGATAGGGGCCTCCAAGGAACCACACCTGTAAGGTGCTCCAGCTTTTACTCAGGAAGGCAAAGCTTGGGTAAGGGGCACTCATTAGTGTGTCATGGATCCTAGCTGTGGCCCTGATACCTGGGGATACTGAGTAACTGGCACAGGCCACCCACTCCTCTACGTCAGCATTGACTTCTGGGAATATTAGCCACTGAATAGCAGTTAATTGGTTACCAAATGTGAGCAGAGTAGTGAGGAGGGAAGGAGAGAAAAGGAAGATGAAGGTCAAGACCACAATCATCAAGACCTGGTCATGGTTTCAGGAAGAATATAGACAGCCCTTGCCATCTTTCGTCAAAATCTGACCAATCAGAGTCATTTTTAAAAATTGCACAAATTTGGGTTTTTATGATAATGTTACATCATGGTCAAGAAAGGAGGGATGTGCAGAGAATGAGCAGGTCTCTCCACAGGTTACATTACCATTAAAATGGGTATAAGCCTGTCATACTGAGTTTTTTCATTAACCTTTTCCAGCCAAACCCGTTGAAAGGTGCTCAGGAAGAAATTGTTAATTTTGTGTCTGGAGAAAAGCACACAGGTTTTCTTTTAAAAACTAACATCAGAGAAAACAGTTGCCACATCATAAAATAAATCCCTTTAGCCCTTTAGTTTGGAAGACTCATGCAGTTTAGATCATCATAAGACAGAGGAGAGGCGTTGTCTCCACCATTAGCTCCTTAGATAGTTTTTGTTGTTGGAGTTACAAAATCTCCTTACAGTCCTCCATGCTAGAGAGCAATCAGGGCAAACTCCCAAACCAGTGGGGTTAGTGGTGTGGGTGGTCACGGTTCATCAAGGACATAGTGAATTCCTGGCCTTAATATTATCCACACAAGGGTGAATTGCTGAAGGGGTGACCAAAATATGAAAGGGTGGTATTAACATTTTCAGTGGATTTAGAAAAAAAAAATGCTTGTTTTTGAGAGATGTAATCTGCCTAACTGGTCTTGGAGACATGTGCTTAGAGCCAAGCCCTTCTGAAGGTCAAGTTAGCACAACATCAGGCATGACTCTGTACTGGGGGAAAGTGAATGCCTTCTGATGTTTCGCCAGTTCTGGAAAACAGACAAATCCTATGCATTTTTGCTTTTTCTACTGGGCTATGAATTCCCCTTTTTTTGCCAGGACTTCAGCAGCCTTCATGCCTCTGCTTAATTTTTCAGCTTTTTATTAATGAATTCTGCTTGATTCTGTGGTGCCTGATCCCCTTCCAAAGATACTCGGCTATTTTCTCGAGAGAACTGTAGGAGCAGACATGTGTCTCAGAGGCCGTGATTCTCCACCATCTTCAAAGATCTTCAGTAGGAAAGGCCAGTTGGCGGGTTGGCTCAGGACAGGGTTATAGGACACTCCAGATAAATGATGGCCAAGACGCACAATTTGATGAAAGCAAAATGTCAAGCACGGGAATAGTCCTTCATCTGATATTCCCCCCAAAACCAAAAACCCACATTTATTTGCATGGAATTCAGAATGTACTTGTCCCAGTCAGTTTATTTTTCCTGACCAGGTGAGGATGTTCTTATTGGCTTGAGAGTTGATGAAGCAGAGGCTGACACTCAATCACCAGCTTCGTTTGTTGATCACAGATCCTACTCACTGACTCTGCAATCGTCTGAGGATGGGAATGTTGTCACATCACCGATGACACTGAGTCAGTCTCAGCGGTCAACGCTGGCCCAGTCTGCACTGATACTCTGCCCCATGATGACACAGCATGTGTGTTCACATGCATTCCAGAAAAGCCTTCGCATATTTTTTACTTCAGAGTATGGCCCATATAAAGCATTATGCCCCTGACTAGCCTCTTGGGACAGTGCCCTTTCTTTACCTTGAAGGCAAATACAATGTGCTAAAGGATTCTCAAATTACATTTCTGTACCTGCTGAGGGAACACAGTAATTTTGGTGTCATCCAAGTGCCTCAACAGAGAAATACTGTTTGCTCTGTTGATGGAATCTAGGGTAAAATATTTTAGAAAACAGTTCTCTTTTTCCAGGGTGCCTTTACATCCTCACAAACAACCCTGCGCAAGTAGAACCAGGGAGTTTCCATATGCTTATGTGGCTGACTTCATGGTGCAAACCAGTGAGCTGAGGCAGGCAGAGGCACTAGGGTAGCTCATCTGTTTTCAGTTTTTTGTGCTTACCTTGATTTTTTTAGCTGGCCATTATACTATATGCAGACTGTAATAGCTCCATGGGTGAAGGATTCCCATTTCTACCCCTTGGATCATGCGTGTCAGGGCCAGAAGAGAGCACACTTTGTGGGAGGGTACCTTAATTCCCATCACTGGCTCACAAGCCAGAAGAAAGTGACAGAATACTTGCCTGGGCAGGTTGTATAGAGGGGCCATCCTGAAACAGGCCACCACTGCCCGTTTCCGCTGCTTTGACAACAGTTTGTGCCAAACTGCCTTCTTGGACCTCAAAGGCTGCTCCACCTAAGAAGAAATCACATGGGTAGGTACGCACTAGGGTGACTGGATGGCAGGAGGTAGTCACCAGCAACCTGGACTTCTCAATGCTGGAAGAATGTTCATTTCTTAACTGTAGTCAGCAAAAGGTACCCAGCAGTAGATGATTCAGTTTGTGGAGGTATTAGGATTTTTTCCTTCTCTCAACTGCTTTTGGCTGCTTATTGCTTAAGAGCAGCTTTAAAAATGGGTAGGGAACTTCAACGGGTCATTTGAGCTAATGGTACAAATTTGTGCAACACCGGGAGGGGAAATAATTGAGGCGTCTGCTACCATGAAGCACCAAGATGACACCTGGGCATGAGCTGGGATGATCCCTGCTCCTTGTTTTCTGTCTTCCAAGGGCACTCTTAACCAAGGCCTGAGTGTAGAGGAGCTCTGTATCCTCCAGGGTAGCCTGGCTTGCTCAATCCTCAGTGCAGATGCTCCTTACCTGCTCCAGGTGGAAGACTGCTGCTGAAATTCTCTGCACACGCTCCACTGTCTTTTCTGGATTGGAAGGTTCTTCGCTCTTCAACACATCCTTGTAGAGGTTCAATTGCCACTTTACAGCTGGGTCATCAGACTGAAAATTGAAGCACACTCATGAAATGAGCAGTTATCCAGCATCTCTTGTACTGAAAAAGCCTTTTACTCCTAGCATGGTTCCATCACAACAAGACTCTCTATTATTGCCTCTCATTCTATTAGCTTCTTCTGAAACACTGTAGATGCTATGTAGGAACTTCTCATTCTAGCCCATATGTCCCTTAACTCTTCTGTCACATTTTCCATCTTGTTCTTTCTCTGTGCTGCATTTAAATTTCCTTAAAGCAATCTTTCAATTCACAAATTCTCTTTTCAGCTGTGTCTAGCCAGGTTTTTTAACCCATAAATTGGATTTTGAATTTCAATGGCTACTTTTTATTTTCATAATAACTATGAGGTCTTTTTCAAAACATCATCCCTCTTCTTTACAAAAAATAATGTCCAAGTCTTGATTTATGAATTCTATTTCTACCTTTATCTCTAAATATTTAAACCATACTTATTTTTAAATTTCTTTCTGCAGTTCCTTAGGCCTGAATTCTTCCTTTTGTTGCGTTTTCTGACTCTCTAGTAGTGGTAGATTTCATTCCACACTTTGTACTTTTTTAATATGAGCTTGTCTTCAGGAGAAGTTTTATTTATTGGCATCTCAGCCTGTATTCTAGGGGGTAAAGACCTTCCAAGTGGTTTCATGGCTGTGTTTCCAGGAGATTCATGCATTTCACTGATTCAAGGCTAATTTTATATAAGTTTCTTGTTCTGCATTTATGCACAACATGAATAATTAGGTCCCATCCTGTCTTCCTTTAAGGTTATTGGAAACCCCAGCCCCTAAAATACATATCTGGGCCAGAGAACCCTACGAGTTTTCCCAAGTGCATCAATTTCTCCTCAGTACTATGATTTGGTGTGTCCTCTTCTTTTCTGGCACCTGGGGTTTCCTTTTACTGCCTTTTCTGTAGTATATTTTTTCCACCATTCCTATATGTTTGGGATGGGAACAAGAGGCTATTTGTGTCAGCCTAGTCCTCCATCTTAGGGAATAATGTATCTGTGGAAAGAGCTGTTCAGGGTTGCAGGCCTGGAAAACTATCAAGCAGCCTTTAAAATGAAAATTTTTTATTTTTATTATACCAACTCAGGTACAAAGTTACTTTGTTTTCAAGTCTCTTAGAGCAGGAGGTGCCGAAACTTCCCCCAGGTGTCCTTTTCCCTGTTTAATAAGCCTCAGTCAGTAAATTCTGAGGCCTAATCTAACCCCCTGCTATGGCTGGATGTTACTTAGTTCATACAGCGGGAGGTGAGAAGACATGCTTTACTGGATAACTCTTTGCATCCTCTTTGTAATAGCAAAGGAGAGAACAAAGTTAAGGGCAAAAAAACCCAAAAATTAAGGACAGAGAGCTAGTCCTACCAATTTAACACAAATACTCTGAGGCTGCTTTCAGAGCACATTTTAGGAAAACGAGTACATTAAGCAGGACAATGACACCCTGCAGGCAGAAGCAAGCCTGTGTGAGTTCTCTTACTGCTGCATCACCTTTTCCTGCAAGTGCAAATTATTCCGCAGGTGTTCCTTCACCTCTTCATCTGTGTCCCTCTGTGGAAAGAGATGTCAACACTTTATTCCTACAGGTCACTACGGAAATGTAAAGGAGGGTAAAAGGATGTACGGGTAGCCAATGGCCAGTTTTGATGGAATCTTTATTACAAAAAAGAAAAAAAAAGAAATTAGAGACTGTCCCAAAGCACCTGCTAGCTCCCAAACCAGCTTTAAAGATGAGGGTGTGTTGCCTCTGTGCATCTTGGTTTCATTTCCTCTGCCCCCACCCTCCACCCCAAGGAGGACTGGGCACCTGTCATTGCCTCACATGCTCAACCAAGGCAGATGCGTGACTTACATAGCTGTATCGTGCCTTTGCCAGGGAGATCAGCTCCTGATCGCCCGGGGTGCACATATTCAAACCAATGGGCAGCATTTTCTTGAGTGCCGCCACGATGAGGGAGGTCTGGATGGAGTACAAGTCTCCCCTCCGCTTCGTCTTCTTCCGTTCCTGGTCCTGTCCTCCAGACTAGGAGATGAGGTTGAAATAAACAGAGGGGCTCAGTGATTCTGAAAGGAACTGCTTCGCCTCGGAGGCAGCCTGCCTCCTTGTGGCCCTGTCAATACAGGTCGGGCCTTACTACATTTCAAAGGGCAGTAAAAGGAGCGTGTTATACAAAGACAACCAGGTGGCCTTAAAAAAAAAAAAATCCCTGCACCCTCTCCTTGTGCGCATGCTCACAGAACCACATGACCAGATACACCACGGACACCTATAGCCTTTGCTCATTCACTTTGGGACCGAACAAATAAACTGGTGTTTTTCGAAAAGAATGATTTAATTACTGTCAAAATGACTCCAGAAAAGAACTGAGAATCCTGATGCCCGGTGCCAGTATAAACATATGAAAGAGCATCTAGCATAGAACAGCTGTTTCCAGGGCTGGAGCGGGGTCCCGACCGTGAGGCAATGCAAATTCTCCCAGGGAGATGAAACTAAATCCCCAAGTAAGGGCTGCTCTGAGATCTGACCCGGGCCAGCTGGGAGGGACTGGAACTCTCCAGGTCCCCAAGAGTCCGCCCCCTTTTTGCCTACACTTTCTCCTCCCTTGTAGGAGAATTCATCAGAGAAGAGTCCAAAGCACTGGGCTGAGGCAATCAACCAAGGGCCCTCAGCATCTATGACATGGTGAGGGTGGGGGTCTGGGTTAGGGGAGGGGGCCTTCAAGGAGACGAAGCCCTGCAGTGACCTAATTTTCATGATGTCAGGCTCTGAAAGAGCAACGCTGCCCACAGGGTACCTTGCTGGCAGGACTCTGCCTCAGCTGAGTGGGCACCTGCCCACTCAGGAAGTGTGGGAGGGCTGGGGAGCCAGAAGCAGAAGATGAAGTCAGGGAAAGAGAGCTGGCGCTCACCAAATTGCTTCCTGAGGTGCCCATGGAACGTCTGCAGCAATGAAGTGGCAGCTCTGCAGTTTACAATGAACCACTAGGAGCAGCGGGGGGGGGGGGGGGTGGGGGGGTGGATATGGTTCCCCTGGAACTGGCATGTAAGACCCAGGACCCTGGGCTGCAGCGGAATTCATTTTCTAAGGGATTGGCTTTCTGAGAGAAGAGGAGGGTCAGAATTACACTGCCTACACTGATAAAGGGACTGATCTCTTCACATTACTTTCCAAAGTGTAAAAGAAGTTCATAATTATTAATGGACGCTCTTAAAATGGATGTGATTTCTTTTCCCCAGCTTGTGGTGGCTGCACCTTCAGGTGGTTACATCAGAGAAACCACAGGAAAGCCCCTGACCAGCAAAACCCCGTCTGGCCAAACACTGCCAGAGAATCCTACTGGATGCAGTGGCACCTGTGACTGGTGCTCCAAAACAGCAGGACAGATCCAGGACAGTGTGGGGAGGGGACAGTGAGAAATAGGCGGGGGTAGGAGGGGAAGAAATGAGGCTGCAAGGCAGCGGCTTCTTGTGTTCCAGAAGAGAGCAGAAAACTGGCTCACAGAAAGACCACAAGAATTCTAACTATCCCTTACTGAGCATTTGCAAGCTCCCTTACATGTTCTACTTCAGGTGCAGAATTCTAAAGGTTGTGCCTAAGGCAAAACTCATTTATAGTCTAAATTACCCTTGAAAATGCTTCAAATTATTCATAAAGGATAGAACCCAGTTTTATGTATGGAAACTATGAGATACCCTGTACATATAAACGTAAAAGGTAAACAACAACATGCAATATACAATCCAGTAAATATGCAAAATGTAACTACGTGGATTTGATACATGACTTAAATAATTTCTTGCTCCCTCTCTCTTCTATTTGGCCGATCTCATGTTGTTCTAATTACAAATGCTGCATATATAATGTGACTCCAATGTACCAATGCACCTACTTAAATAAAACATTTCTAGTCCTCCCAACAACTCTGAGATAGGAGCAAGTCGGTTTTATAAATAAGAACATAATGCTCAGAAAAGTTAAGAGATTTTTCCAAGGTCACACAGCAAGTAGGCATCTGAGTCAACATCCAGACTCAAGGCTACCTGGCCATGGCTCCATTTTCCTTTGATGAGAGCTACATGTGACCTGGTTCCTGCAAACCCTCTTTCTCTGACACATACTTTGGGACAATGGCAGCAGATACACATTAATGAAGAGCTAGAGAAATATTTCCAAGTCATAACCTGTATGGGTCATTGGAAAATTGTCCCAGGGTTTATTCCTCCTTATGTACATTTTATGCAAAAACTCATGGTTATCTGCTCATTTCAAATCCTGGGATTAGTCCTTGGAAAACTCTCTTTGAATCATGGGAACCTTGTACAAGGGGCAGAAATGTATAGTGTGAAAGGGCCGGGGCCACTGACAGCAAAGAGGACTGTGAGCCTGCATGGCACAGCAGAGGAGTGTCTCAAGCCTTGTTAGTGTCCCTATCTCTGTAAGTGTGCTGGCTGCAGAGTGGGCAGCTGGGGAAGGGAGCAGAGATAGCAAGGAGACCTCGGTTAGGGTGAGGCTTGGCTGGCTTCCCCGGCTTCCCCATTCCAAGGGTGGGTAGGCCTACATTCACTCTTTGACAGGCAGTTGTCTTCCCTGGAGCAGGCCTGGGGGACCTCCAGGTGGGAAAATCCATTCTGTACCACCCCCATGGTGATCACAGTGCAGAGGCGGGCCAGAGCCTGGCACCTCTAATACTAGAACAGAAAAGACACGTCATGCATTTGACCTGTACCTTTACTTGCATGGCCTGTGTGGAAAGACAAAAGAAAAGAAACAAGGAGAAGAGTTAGTAAAAGCAGGGGTCCAAAGCATTAAGGTACCACATGTTAGTCAGAGCTTCTTAGCCCCTGTTTCTCAGCCAACACAACAGAAGCTCAACCGTTCTGGAAGCCAGTTGATCATGGCATGAAGGGTGAATGGGAGGTTAGGATGGAGGTTAATTTGGTCATAAGGACTTACACCCAGACCAAGCAATGCACGCCTGGGCCGAGGTCACCTCAGAGACCAGACTTCCAGGGGGTCTTCAGATCTGACCACCCATGTGAGTGCTTTAGTGCTAAAGTCTTCCCCCTCCGTCCTCCCTTGTTTCACCTGGGTGGGCTGCAGACAATCTGTCATGTCACCAAAGACCCCAGTTTTTTTTCCTTCCTTCCACCCACAGCATTATCACCACCAGCAGATGTGTGATTACAAAAATATATAAATGTCTAATCACTATGTTGTTGTATACCTGAAACTAATATAATATTGTATATCAAGTATAATTGAAAAATTAATTTAAAAAAAGAAAAAAGAGGAGGAAAGATCAGAGCTAAGGGGCAATGGGTGTGCTTCTACTAAAACGTTTGCTAAAAAAAAAGAAATATCCAGGGGGGCGGCCGGTTGGCTCAGGTGTAAGAACACGGGCTCATAACGCCAAGGTTGCCAGTTCGATTCCCACATGGGCCAGTGAGCTGCACCCTCCACAACTTGAAAACAACTTGACTTAGAGCTGATGGGCCCTGGAAAAACACACTGTTCCCCAATAAAGTTAAAAAAAAGGAATATCTAAGGTGGTCCAGGTTCCCCCTATAGCCTGAAAGATGGAGCATGTCCCTTCTTGTGCTGTGACCTTTAAATATGCAGAGGTGCCAAAAAAATGTATACACATTCTAAGAGATGTTCTCTTACAATGTATGTACATTTTTTTTTTGCCACCCTGGGTACATTAGGTCAAAGGCTCCTACACACTACAGGTTCTGATTTTGTTCTTTCCTTACATATGGCTAACATTAGTAAACTCAGTGCATTTCTCTAATATTGGAAATGCTTTTTTTTTTTAATTGCCTGGAACTTCTTATTTTCTAAACAGGAATTTAAGAATTCCTATATCTTCAAAATCATTTCATTTCCCCCAGAAGTTTATGATCAAACAGATGATTTTATGTGTGAACTTAAGGAAAAACACAGGGATGAGGGAGGTGAAGAGGGAGAGGGGGCAGAGAGAGAGAGAGGGAAAAGGAGAGAGGGAAGGGAGAGAAGGAGGGGGAAACGGAGAGACAGTGTGGGAGCTGCACCAGTACAAGGGCAAAGGGAATAAAAACAAAAGTGAAACAAGGTGGGGTGGCCAGTGAGGAGGGAAAGACAGAGGACTGGAGGGGAGGGGAGGGAGAGGAGGGGAGGAGACAGAAGAGTGAGTAATAGGGGAGAGATTGGAGTAAGAGGAAAATTCACACATGTAATTCTGAATACCCTTAAAACACTCAAAGACATCTTCTAAACCCTTCCCTGTCCTTTCTCAGTACACTGAAATCACTCCTGGGGAGGAGAGGCTTTACACAACGAGCCACTCTAATATTTCCTGCACCACGACTCTTTCATTGTTTATAATCTTGGTCAAGGAACTGACATTTCTTGAGCTGAATACGTTCTAACTTACCATTGCCCTCTGAGGAAGCTGCCGCCATTTTTCCAGAAAACAAAACAAGTGTAAAAACAAAACAAATAACACATGCTCAGCTTAGTTACGTTTAGCTTAACATATATTTGCAAACCAGTGTTACATGAACAAAATATACAATGAGCTCTCCAAAAAAATCTGCTTTAGCTGCCAGAAAAATGGCACATTTTTGAACTGACCTTCAGTTAAACAGGCATGAACAGTGTGGCCCACTGTGTGTGTGTGTGTGTGTGTGTGTGTGTGTATTTTTTCTGCTGCCTTTCCATTTGCAATGGCAAGTGCAGTGTGTGTGGCCATGCACTCCAGTACACATATCTCTGCAATGGCCGCCATATGCACTGAGGTCAGTTTCATTTATACACCACCAGAATTCAATTAAGAGTGGAGATAAAAGCACACACAGGCAACAGGTGACCATTCAGGTCACGTAGTAGAGAGAACCTCTAATTTCAGGGAGGCAAAGGGAAAGGGGGTTCAATTGATAATAAGAAAGAATAGCCCTATCCCTGGCCTCTCAATATGTAGTTACACATCCAAAAGATACCAGAAATGGCTATGTTGCTGTTTTGGAAGCATAGTATCCCTCTGTCTGAAACAATGCATGGCACTTATGTAATATTATTTCATCCTAGAGATACAGCTTGAAACTGACTTTTAAACAGAAAATCCTAGAGGAACCAGGTAGTAAGCCCAACCCCATTCTACAGATTGGTAAATCGGGGCCCAGAGGAGGTAAGCGAATGATGCCAAGGCCCCACCTCCAGTCAACAGTTGAGCCAAGGGTAGAACTTAGCTTCCTCAGTCTCTAGTTGTATTTACTACTACACTTTGATGCTCAATTGAGGCAACAAAAACAATATAAATATTTGTTACCCTGAGGAGTAAATGGCAAATGTTATTTAACATCTAGGGAGAGTCCTCATGTCCATTACACTATAACTTTGATCTCATCCCATGAGGCTCAGAAAAAATTAGCGTACAATGTCAATGGAAATGAAGTGAATGTGTTTGCTCCTGTAGACTAACCTTATCAACAGGGGAGATGCAAACATTCTGAATATGACCATCCTCTGACAAGACAAACATACCCTTTTCCTCATTCAGTGAAGTGAATGAACATAATTTCAGGTTAGTTTGTTAGTAGGCTAGTCTTAAAATGTCATTCTTTGTCACCTCATCTTTTTCCAAGTGCAAACCCAAGGACCCTCAGTATCCACTCATTACCAGAGGGTTGAGATGTCTTTGCCACTTCTGCTCCTCTGGCATCTGAATCCTTATATTAGAGTCATTCCCATTGCTTTGCCGCCATCCACTGACAACGACAATCGTTCAGGCATGAGCCAATGAATCTACTCCAGGTTGAAGGTAGCACAGAATCTGCCCAGGATTTATTCAGGTGGGCGGGGTCAAAGAAGAGCCCATGATGGCTGTAAGAAGACCCTTCAGAGGGAACTTAAGATAAATGTCCAGGGAATAGGAGTCTGAAAAATCCTACCTTATGTACCTCACATGAACAGCAGCTGTGTGTGTTAAAAGTGGAATGCAAAATGGATTTTGGAAAATCAAATAAAAGTTATATAAAGCACAAAAGGCTCCACCACAAGTAAGGCTCCTTTGCAGCAAAGATTCCTCTTGAATGTGCATATATACTCCTGATTTCCCCATTCCCTTGGTATGTGTACAATTTTATTTATCAGTCTTTATAAAGCAGTGTATACCACATTCTAAACTTTAAGAGTCAGTTTTTGGATACTGGATGAAATGTTAGTGTCAACACAGCTGAAAGTGGGAAGGGCTGGAGAACTCAGAGTGATTGCAGCTGACCAGAGCTAGCCTGAAGTGCTGAAGCTTTGAGTGCTGATTTTTGGTGTCATACCAGTCCCCTATCTACAGATCCACATTACAGGTCTTCCATCCTAAATGGTTATTTGGAAAGATGCCCAGAGGGCTTCACTGCAAATATGGCTGCCATCTTTCCAGAGCTGATTTTCACTTCTGAGCGGTCCCCATGAACACCCCACTTTCGGGTTCCTCAAAGGCAGCACTCTACCAGCAATAACAGACACGCACATCTCGGTGCACTTATACTTGACATCTACAGTCAAACCTCATTGAGGCACGCTTCTCAAGAGAACCAAAATGAGGGTAAGCTGTACAGCTAGTTAACAAAACATCCCGTGTAAGTAAGCCTTGCTTCTGTGTGTATCCCTGAAGGAGTGTGTCTGAGAATGCTCTCCAACCAAAATAGCAAAACCTCAGTGTGCAGAGCTGGCTCAGGAGGATCTGGGAGGCCAGTTCCCCTTCCTGCATTCCTACCACACTCCTCCCTACAGGTGACTCGTTTCACACACAGATGTCCAGTGCACCCTCTTTCCAACATTTCCTGTGGGGAGATGGACAAATGTTTGGGTTTCTGAATGCAACTCACGTGGAAAATAAACAGAAGGCATGAAGAGGTCAGCACAGCTGAAATAAAGCATCTATCTATCTATTGGGTGTTTGAGATAGGAGGAAAACAAGTACAGTGTAAGAAAGTGCTAACGAAATCTTCAAAGCAAGGCAATTTCCTCATAGCCAATCAAAAGGTGACTGTACGCACATGTGTTTCTGTAGCTCTACTACACAAGAAATAGTACCATTTTAAAACTACTGACAGCAGCTTTTGTTTGGGAGACCTCTCCAATGCCTTAGGCAATTGTTGACACATAAATGTTTTGACACACAAGCAGCTATTTTTTTCATAAAATGTTTATGACCCTGCTTACTTGACGGCTCACTGTCTTCCGGCTCATTCTCAAAGAAACAACAGTCGAGACTGTTGGTTTTTGGTGGTTTGACCTAAATGCAGCACGGAGCTAATCCCTTCATACAGCCAAGATACACAGCTTAGGTCAAGGTTGAAGAGTCTTTGCAATTGATTTCTAAGAACTTACTTTTGACATCTTGCTTTTGCTGTCTCCAGTTAAAAATGCCAAATTATTAATTTCATTCTGAATCACAAAATTTTGCTCTTCCCTCTTGAAGTTCTAAGTGGGGGTGGGAAGAATAAAAAAGCAAACATTACAAGACAGTTTTCCAAGGTCTGTACCTTTCACAGCCGTCTCTAAATCCAGGACCCACTTGTGTCCTTACGTGAGATTTACACCACAGGATGAAGACCTCTGCCACCATGCGGAAGAGCTGGTCAGAATCAGCATCGGGGCTTTTGAGCCAGTTAGATCTGAGTTGAAAAGTAGATGAAATTCAATAATGATTAAAATAGCCACACTCATTGGACACTGGATGCACATATTTATCCAGACAAAGCTGTATTCCCACAAGAAGGCAATCATCAGATAGACTAAAGATCAATACACTCCTTCCATGCTTAGATACGGGCATGTAATTGTAGATATTTTTGAAAAACCTACAATAATCATTTCCATTTTACCAAATGATTCAAGGATTATCTTAGCAAACAGATGTCACAAATCAACATTTCAAAATTGTCGAAGGTAGGTGTTTTTTTTTTCCTTCTTTAAACTTATGAAGTGATTAAGGTTTACACTCTAAGTTTTGGGGAAAGCATCCTTTAGTATACAAGGCAGGCAAAACTAGGGAAGTCTTGGTCACTATGACACCTAATTTTGTCATTGCCAAGGCTCTGGCATGCTGAGCACTCTATAAACAGTTCAGGCGTCACCCCTTTTCTTTTCAAAGCCAGTTTTAAAAATGAAGTTTATAAGACAATATATTTTTCACTGTTAACTGAAGTGCATAGGCAGAGACCAAACATGGTTTGGAAATTCCCTATAAATGAGCATTGCTTGTTCATTTATTTTTTTTAAACCAGGCTAGGTTTATAAATTTCACAATGCCAGCAAGAAGGCTAAATTGCAGTAGAATTCAGTCAATTTCTAAAAATTATTTTGCCCCTAAGTATCTTACACAGTTGAATTAAATTATATTTTGAAAGGGCTGGGTGAGTTGGCATTTTCAAATATCTGCATAGAGTGACACAGTAGAAATTAAACTGTGTATTGACTTTCTTAAGCTAGTAATACTTTGGCTCTCATGGTTTGAAAAGCCCAATGTCTCTTGGTGCATGCAGGATAATAACTATTAAAAGCCAGTTCCCTAAACCCTGGGACATCAGACTGAATTGCCCTGAGCAGCCTGTACCTTCCGCCCATTCATGGAAAGCACCAGGCTAAGGAAGACTCATGAGGCCAAGACCACTTTTAGATCCCTTGCTCATCTCCTGAATTCCTTAGTGCCCTGAGTTCCAGCCTCAGAGATGTTCTTATCTAATCTTTTTTGTTTTCTCCGTCAACTAGTCTCTCCTTTATATGGCAGACACTATAGGTTGTTTCACAATACTCATTCTCCACTCTTCCTTGGGAACAAAATCCCATTTTATTCAGGGTGGCATTGTACCCTGCCGAAGATCACAATACCCAGCTTCCATTGAAGGATCGCCAGGTAACTAAGTTCTGATCAATGAGCTGGAAGTGGAAGGTGTTGGATGGGCCTTCTGGAAAAGCTCTCTAAAAAGATAAATGAAGGTGCCCTTTTGCCTTCTTGCTACTTTCCTGCTTCCTGTCTGGAATGATACTATGATGGTTCAAACTCTAATTGGCATTTTGCATCATAAAGTAACTTTGAAGATGGAAGCCAACAAATGTTAAGGATGGAAAGACAAAGGAATGAGGGTCTCTAAAGACGAGCAACCATACTGGTCCTGGATTGGATATCTTTGGACTGCTTTTATATGTGAGATTTAACTTCTACTTTGTTTAAGCCACTGTAATCAGGAATGCATTACTAGAAGCCAAATGCAATCCACACTTGAGGCTTGAGATTGGCGTTTCTTTGATTTCTTCCATATTGATTTTTCAGAAGTGCTTTTACAGGGTCCAGTGTCGAGTTTTATCAGAACTGCCAGCTGCTCATTCTCTAGTGTTTTGGTTTAAATGAGTTTTACGGGTTTGCCGTATGTTGAGTGGGAAGAGGCAGGGGTCATATCCTATCCTACCACGGAAACGTACAGGCACAGGGAGTGCTTCATAGCGGGAGTAATGAAAATAATCTTGGTAAAAATTTTCTCACAGAAGAAAGAGGGAGATTCTGCCTTCGCCTGGGAAGGCAGCTACAGCTGAATGCATTTTGTTTTCATCACTCTTCTTCTAAGAGGCACATCTTTACTCTTGCTCTTTAGTGAAGTCCTTTCTTCAGGCTCAGAGAGGTGGGTGTGCATGAAGAACATCTCATTAAATGTCTTTGCCCAGGCACACAGACTCTCTGCACCTCTCTCAAGCCAGGAGACTAGAAGATCCTGACCTCACCGCTTCTATTTGCCCATAGCCTTTCTGCCCCAAAATGATGTAACCAGGCTTATCTCCGCTCTGCTCCCAGTTTTCCATAGAATTCATGATCTCTCTCAGCACTCAGGCACTTAATCCTTCCGGAGGTGCTTAACTGATCTGTGAGTCTCTTTTATCACCAGTACTGCATGCTGCGCAAAGGCAGCTGCGGGTGGGAAGAAGGTGGGGTTTAGAGGTAATGATCGGTGGGGTGATGGCTGAAGCAACCCAATGGGTGAAATTACTGAGCCTATTAACAGAGAACGGAAGTGCATAATCAAATCTTGGATGATGGCAGGAGTAAGGAGAGTTAGGCTTCCATTTTCAAAAAGACGAGCTATCAGGTTCTGAAAGAAAGTAAAGCCATGCTTCTATGTTCACGGTCAAGGTGACTGACTTAGAGGGAAGAGCTTCTGTCAGCCTTGTCCCTAAGCCCCCTGTAGAGGACACAGCTGGAGGCAGCCACCAAACAGGGTTTGGTCAGATTCCCTTCAGCAGATTGAGAGATGGGTTTTGTTTTTTTTGTTTTTTTTAACCAAAATCACACTATTTAAAGTTGTTCATTTCTATGTTCCAAGTGTTTCTGATTTCCAGATAGGAGGCTGAGAAGTCATTGCATCTTGTAGAGAGATCTTTTTTGAACCTATGTTAACTTATATCTCCTGACATGAGGAGATGGAGAGCTGTTTTGCCCTGCTCTGACCACACCACACTGGAGTTTCTGCTCATTCTGGGTCAGCTTCAGGCTGAACACCAACCAACGGAAGTTACGCTTCAGGAGAACGCTCTAGATAGTGAAGAAACTTGAAACACTGCCATGACAGGGCTGCAGGAAGTACAAAGGTTTAATGTGAGGAGGAAAAACCGGGAGGAGAACAGGACAAGATGATGCCCTTTGATATTTAAAGGGTTGCCACAAGAGAAATTGGAGGAGTTTTGTGTGGCTCTAAAGAGCAAAATCAGAGCCGATGGTGGAAGTTACAGATTTGAACTCAAAATGGTTCAGAGTGTCCGAAACTAGAATGGGAGTTGCATGTACGGGAGGGCTGTGCTGGTCGTCTGTAACTGTGGTGGATAATCAGAGGCAGGAATTGCATTGCTAGGAAAAAAGAAAAAGGAAAGGGATATTTATTCATCCAGTTAGAGGAAAGAGGAAGTGACCGCTAATATTCCTGCCAAATCTGAAGTCCCATAATTCCAAACCAGCTAGTTCTTTTGGGTGAAGAAAGGACTTGAAGAAGGTAAAGACAAACACACAGGAAGGAAGCATCTTTCAGCAAGGCTCAGATGGCCACAATGTTCCCTGGTGTTCAGGGAAGAACGGGTTGAAAAGTGGGGATGGATGAATTAATGATGATCTTAAAGACTCTCTGACATTGCCGTTTTTTAGCAACTGTCAAACACTGTGAAGGAGGAACACTCTAGCTTGAGTCTTGATCATCAATAGTGACAAATGCCATTAAAGAGCTATTCTCGGAGCAACCTTACTCTACTTTCATTTGTGTTTCCACCTCAAACTCTGACGGATTCCTTCTCTACACTATTAACAAAATTATGTTATCAGAGATGACTAAAATAGTGACTCTCAAAACAGGATTTCTTTTGAGAATTTCGAGTAAAATGTCCCATAGATAGGTAAGGGATTATAGGTATATCTACACACATATATAGTGTGTGTAAGGTGTTTATTTTGAAATGCTAAATATAACCAATTTTAAGTTATTTTAAATAGTAAGTACAATTTACCATACAAAGTAAATGCTAAAAGTGGGCATATGTAGACCTATTTCCTGCCCATGACAGAATGACTTCCCACTCAAAATGTTAGCAATGTTCTCCCAAATATTCCTGGGTCCGTTCAATATCTACAATGGGATATTTTATTTATTTTAGAGAAAGCATGTTTATTGTTTTGACTTACTGAAACAAAATATTCCATCAAATTACCCAGGAAAATCCAGGTACCAGAAATACATAACATTGTCCATTCTTTCAAGAGGTCTCAAACAGGTCACAATGGGATACTTGAAAATTAAACTTTCCCAAATTTATATTTTAGGCCTTTAAGTGGTCGTATCCAATAAAAATATCTATTTGGTCTTTGACTTCCACTGGGACCAACAATCTTTTGCTCCTGTTCCTGTTCATGGTCACTAGTCTCCTATGTCCTTATTTCTGTCCTTCAGCTTAAATTCCATGGTCTATCTTTATAATTACCCTCTTACCTACACCTTCAGCTCCCCAACCCATTTTTTACTCTGTCACACTCACTTTGCAAAACCCCAGCCTTGGTTAAATCCAACTTTCTTCCTACTCTAGCCCTGAACCTGGCAGCCGAGTTGGCTGGAGAAAAAGACAACCTGCTGATGGGTCTCACTTTAAACTCAGGACC